TACGACCGGCTCATGGCGGCGCGTCGTGGCGACAGCGGCAGCGTGACTAATAGCGGAGCATTGTTTACGGATCTGGGTTTTGACATCCTGCCGAGCTTTGGATTCACGGAGGGCCTGGCGGCGGCGTTTGGTATGCGCGGGGGCTCGCCGCCGGCGACGCCGCCGGCGGCAGCGGGCAGCACTGCCGAGGGCAGCGTCGGCAGCCGTACACCGCCGAGACGTACCAGTGGCAGCGGCGCCGGCGGCGGCAGTATCGGCAGCAGCAGTACGACAAGCTTCTCCGGCCCCACAGGCGCCCCCGGCGCTGGCGCGACGGTACCCTCCCCCACCACCAACAACACCACCAACAACACAACCACACCTGCCGGTGGTGGCGGTGGCGGCGGCAGATCCGACGTAGGATTCCCCGTTGCAGGGGTGTTTGTCCAGGTGTACGAGGAATACGGCATGGCTAGCGGCGCCGGCGCCGCCGCCGCCGCCGCGGGCAACGAAAGCATCGCCAGCAACATGAGCACCTGGGGCGGCAGCACCGTGTCTGGATACCCACGAGAGGAAGCCACGTACCTATCTGGGCCCGCGGCACTAGGCAGCGGCACCGGCGGCGGCGCCGGCGGAGGCAGTGTACGGGAGTACCTCCGTCAGGCCAGCGGCGGCGGCGTCGGGGGCGGGAGCGGGAGCGGTCGCAGCCGCCGCAGCAGCGGCTACAGTCGTGTGCTGTCCAGCGGCTCCGCGGGCCACCAGCACCTGATGAAGGTGGATTCCATGCTGCATGGTAAGACATGGGGGTGGCGGGGTGCAGGGTTGGGTATGGATTGGTTTGGGGAATGGATAAGGGTTTGGGGCATGGGGAAGGACGTTTAAGTGGCGGCAGGGGATCCGTCCCCAGGGGTGGCGCCCCGTGCCATGGCGCCCCGCACCCCTTGACCCCTCACTTCCCTCCCCTTCCCCCCTCCCCTCCCATCCTGCTCTGCCCCCAGGCGGCGTCAGCGAGCACACCGCCGACCCCACCCCGCCCATCATGCCCATGGGGGTGTCCCCCGAGCTCATGGCGGCACACGACCGCGCGGCCGCCGAGGTGGCCACCGCCGCCTCGCTGGTGGCGCTGGGGGAGCCGGTGGCGGAGGCGGTGGAGGCGGTGAGTGGCGGGGGGGGTACAAGTAATGAGGGCGGGGGGCGGGGGCTGCGGCGGCGGGTGATTGGGTGGTGCGAGCATGTGCGGATGTGTGTTCATGGGGGCGTCGTACTCGCAGCACGCACCGCATGCATACAGCAACATGCAGCTTGCAACACAACGTTACCCAACATTGCTTTATGGCGTCCGCTGACCCGACCCCCAACACGCATGGCCCCCTCCCGCCCCCTCCCGGCCCCCCCCCCAGGTTGAGGCCCTGGCAGCCCGAGTGGAGGCTGAGCAGCGGGTGGAGGTGGAGGACGTCATGCCCGCACTGCTGGCGCCGCAGGCAGTAGCGGCAGGTGGCAGTGGCGAGGTAGCGTCACATGAGGCGGAAGAAGCGGCAACAGGCGGTGATCGAGGCAGAAGCCCTGCCGGAGAGCGCGCAGGTGCGGGCCCGAGCGGGGGGCTGCTGCTGCCGCACGCGGGCTCGCTGGCCGGGCGGCTGGGTACTCCGGAGCCGCCGCCGCCGGGGGGAGGCCCCTCTGCACTGGAGATCGTGGTGGAGAGTGCCGTACTGGCCGAGGAGGAGCAGCAGCAGCTGGGGCAGGTGGGGCAGCAGCAGCAGCAGGCTCAGCAGCAGCGCCGGCGCGAGGAAAATGAGGAGGAAGAGGACCAGCGCGGCAGGAGGAGGGTGCGGGAGGAGGAGCAGCCGCAGCTGCCGGCGGGCGCTGCGCCCGATGCACCTCCGTCGCCTCCCTCCGCCCCGCCGTCCCGCCCCCGGCGACTGAGCCTCACGTTGTCGCCGCGCCGTCTGTCCGCGACCCCGGCCATGTTGCATCCGCAGCAGCAGCCACCCTCGGGCTCACGTGGAGCCCCGGAGCCCTGCGCTCCTCCATCCGACCCATTCCAGCAGCAGCTGCAGCAGCGGCAGCAGCGGCAGGAGGGTCAGCAGCAGCAGCAACAGCAGGAGGAGGAGGGGGGCTTGGTTCTGGAGGGTCTGAGTGAGGAGGCGGCGGAGGTGGCTACCCGGGTTGCCTCATTAGGCCCGGTGTGGGACGCGGTGGGGCGGAGGGCGGCGGTGGCGGCGGCGCTGGTGGCACTGGGGGAGCCGGTGGCGGAGGCGGTGGAGGCGGTGGAGGGAGGGGGCGGCGGCGGCGGAGGGGGGAGGGACACGGAGGGAGACGAGGGCGAGGAGGATGAGGAGGAGGAGGAGGAGGAGAGTGGGATGGAGGAGACGCGGGAGGCGAGGGAGGAGGGGGATGTGGCGCAGTTGCTGCGTGTGCCGGCGGCTAGGGAGGCGGGTGGAGCAGGGGGAGGAGGAGGAGGAGCGGGGGGAGATGCGGGAGGAGGAGGCGGGAGGGGGGTAGCGCTGGGGGCGGCTGTGGATGCGGAGGCGGTGCGGGGGGCGGGGCTGGCGGCGGCGGTGGCGGAGGACGTGTTGGAGTGAGAGGGGGTTGGGGAATGGGGTGAGAGGCGGTGGGTGAGCTGGTGGGGTAGGGGGAAACGAGTGAGAAGGAGGTCATGAAACTCAATACAAGGGTGAGGCGCGCAGACGGAGAAGCGTGGAAGGGAGAAGATGTGTGTGGAAAGGGTTTCGTTGCCTAGCGGTGTTCATGCGGGTGGGTGCGGAGGTGCGAGAGCTAGCGAGTGGGCACATGGGGTTGTGGGGGGTTGGCAGGTGCGGGTGGAGAGGGGCGCTGCGGGAGGGGCGGGACGCAGTGTGGTGCGCGGGGGGGCGGTCCCGGGGGGGAGGAACGGGGCTTCCCTGTAGCGTTGTACTACCGTTGACGCTGTTGGTAGGGGGCCATCTCCAAATGTCTCTGGAGGTGGCATTCGGGCATTGCAAAGTTGAAACCTGTTCAGACACGCGCTCTCGAGTGTTGTGAAGCTAGCTAGCTTGTCTTGTTGTATCTGTTGCAGTGGTAGGCTTGAGGGGGGTGGGCTTGAGGGGGGTGAGCAGCTATCATCCCTTCCAGACACGCCTCCGTCTTGAGGCTCTCATCGCACTCACGGGTGCGAGTGGGGGTTGGCCTCCTTAGTTCTCCGTTCAGGGAAGGAACAGGGCGCCCGGAGGGGGGGGAGGCGACGAGGTGCTTTCCCCCGTCCGCCCGAGACACTTTTTGAGAAGACTCTCTAGCATCTTTCTCTGCATGTAGCGTAGGCTAGCACGGTTGTGAGACGGGGCCTCGGAATTGCGTAGGATTGGCTCCCTGGTGCTTCCATTGGCGTCCTCCGCGCCCGGAGGAGCGGAGGCTGGGGTGCGGATTGAACCGAACATGGGTGATGTTGCGAAGGCACCGAGCAAGTACCCCTCAGAACGCAACGGTAAAAAGCTTTGAGGAGGAACTACATCGCAGTGGGCTGCTGCTGCTGCAGTGTTGCGGTTTAGTGTGCGACGTGACGTGTTGAGCGATGATGGCTTTGGGGGGGATGGGCCGGCTGGGGATGAGGAAACGGTGGTGCGGGGCTGGGAACCGGCGCTGTTGGTTGTACGACACTCATGAGCAGTGAGGGTGGGAATTATGTGCTGAACGAGCCAAATTGCGCGGTGGGGTGTTAAGAGATACCTTTCCTTTTTACACAAGACGCCCTTGTATTTTACGTGGCGTTTGCTACACCGGTCATGCCGCATTGCCGATGACTCCCCGTGTAGGAAGGTGCATCTCCGGCGTTTGCAGCGTTAGACTGGAAGCAGCAACCTGTTGTGCGTTCCTTGTGCTGGGTCTGTCTGTGTTAATGTTGTATAGTCTTTGCACACACAACGCTCAGGCGTTTGTTGCTCTACACACATGCATACGGGGGCCTATACGCCGTAAGAGTTGTACAATAGGTTGCCGTATAAAGGAGTGCGGCCCATGTCCACTCCTTGCCGTTTTCTGTACACTTAACATGCAGCAAGGGCGGGTCACGGGGCGCTATGCAACTTATGCGGGGCGCTTGTGATGCGGATGTGGTTGTTTTCTAGCGGGGCTAGAGCGACGCCACGCGCTCGAAAGATGATGGATGTAGCACGCAGCGCATGCGTCCACTAATTGTTGTTGCGGGAATTTTCGCGTGACCGTCAAGGCGCGCACAACACTGTAGCCCAAAGCTTTATTTGTTGGCTTCACAACATAGATGCCACGATTGAGAAGTCACTTCTTTTGTGTATGCACCGGGCCGCGTTACAGACCCAGACGAGGTTCGGTCCCTCGACCAGTTCGTGTCCGAACGTTGCGTATGCCACTGAGTGCCGTGGGGTCAAGGGACATTCGCCGTACAGTCGTGTGCGTCATGCGTTTCCATACTGTACATTGCCAGTACAGCGGCGGCAATACCGTAATGCTGCCCAATGTACGGCACTAAAGTGTACTGCTGCGCCGTCATCCTGCTGTCGTACGCGCTGTAGTCGTAGCGTTACATTTTGCGTTCCCAAATGTACATAGTTGGTGGGAACGGTATGCGGCGGTCGAGCTGTTGTCGGGCATCCAATTGTTGTAATGCAAGCAGCATAACCTGGGAAGGACAGCCGTGCTAAGCCTCATTCCGCAGCTGATGGGGTCTTGATTGCAACTGTGGCCTTTTTGGGTTGCCTAGTTAAGGCTCAACAGGTCAATGAATCATGTCAGGTAAGCTGTACCGAAGCTGGCAGGGTAAGGTGTCGATGCGTGCACGACATTGCTGCTGGCAGGAAGAGGGCTCCTGCGTGTTCGTTGTTTGGTTCGGAGACGCGAGTTGTATGTCTGGAACAAGGGTGTTATAAAAGCGCCGGAAGAAACTACTCGGTTGCCAAACCCAAATTGCTATTGCTCTTGTTTGTTCCAAGCCTAGCTAACTGATCAACGGCGCCGTACCGGCACAGTTCTAGGCCTGTTACTCGGTTTGTCACCTACACACATACACGCATGTGTGGGACATAGCTGCTAGTCCACGTTACGTTACTTGGTAGCACACATTCAGCGAAGTCTGGACTCCGTCAACGGACGCAGGCTCGTGCACATGAAAGCCGGCGTTACCGAAAAGGAAGCTAATTGTTGTTATTATCTCTGTTAGCTAGACATACCCTATGAAGATGTCTCCTCACTTCATGGCCTATTTTTACTATGTAGCAGCATGCTACCCACAACCTATCCTGCCAAGACAGTAGCCCTGTTGTTGTTCAGTAGACATACTATTCCACTTTAAATCATGGAGGAGGGAGGCATGGCGTATCGGACAAGAGCGCGCGCAAGAAGCGCGACGCCAGTCCCGCCAACTAGCATTGCAAAGCAGCCTGTACGCGCGAGGAAAACTCCGACTGCAAATCAGACAACTGGACGAAAACGGACCGCGTCAGTAGCTGAGCTGGCAAGGACAGCGCCATGTGATGACACCGGACTAGGGCTGCGTCTTACCGGCAACCAAGGCCGCATCCCTGATATCCCGCACTCTTCTGGTATCGATGACGAGTCTAAAGTTTCGGACCACGAAGAGGATGACGACGAGATTCTGGAATGCACCGCCTTGCCAACTGTCGCTGGGGTACCCAGCCACCGTGCAGCGTCCCCTCAACTAGCTCCTTCCGGCGATAGTGACGTTGTCGTCGTGGAGGAGGCATCTCAGCCTGAAATTGACGACGATGTTGTGCTGGCCGATTCCCCGAACAAGCGGCCTCGGACTGCCGAGCACGGCAGCACGGACGGCAGCGATTGTGATGACCTGGGGGACGATGAGGACCTTCGGGTGACAGGGGCCACGGGGCAGGTGGGTTGGGCTGCAGGCTGAGTCGTTCCGACTCTCATACTTCGGCAACCCACATCCTCTCACGCCACTATGTGTCAATTGCCCTCTTTCCCTGCCGTTTGACGCCACCGGCTGCAATTCCGTAACGCCTCTCGTATTTGAGACATCTCCGGCATGTCATAGCGTTGTACATGGCCTGTCATACTAGCTGCCTGCGCCGAAGCCCTCCCGTGCTCCCTACCCGCCCCAGGTGGTGAACCGCGACCTGCCGCATCTGCGACCCGACTGCGCGGATCGCCCCTTCATGAGGGAAGGTGCAACCAGCAACGGCGCGCATTGCGGAAACGTAAGGAGGATGGAATGACTTCCCAGGGGGAGTACCGGCACGTTGGTGTCATGACATCCTTCCAATTACAGTTACAGTTACAGTCTGTACGCGTGTACAGTGTGTCCGTACGAGCCAGGGGGGCCAAGGACACTATAAGAAACAAAGTCAGTCTGAGTCAGGGTCCCCTACAGGCCTCCGTAAGCTTTCACATGTTGCATGGTGCTCCTGTGACCCGCGGCTGCCAGTTTCCCATGCTATATCCATGTCCGGCGGCTGGGCGCCGGCTTTCAACTGCAACAGCCATGCTATCATGCTTAACCCGTTGTGGGTTGCTCAGATACTCAGCACAAAACGCACGACCCCTCCCCCCCCGCAGTGCTTCTGCTACGTGTGCGACGTGGAGGCGTCCAAGTGCGAGTTCTGGGGCACGGGTGAGTGCGGCCATCAGCTGAAGAAGCAATAGCACTGTCTGGCCTTAGCTAGGCGCCGTGCGGTTTCCTGCCCGGCGGTGCACCTGCTCTCCTTGTTCCATCCCACCTAGTTCCGGCACCTCCGCTCCCTGCAGGCTCCCGAGAACGCGACCACGCCAACGCCCATAACGCCAACCCCATCTGGAGGAAGCTCCGTGACGGCCGCAGCGACAAGGACAAGCTCCGCAAGGCGTTCCTGCTCGAGGGGCCACTGAGCGTGCCCCGTCGCCGGTCGGAAGCTGTAGCACTCGGGCCCATTGTGCTGGATGACGACCAGAATGCGGCAGTGGGGCTAGCAGGGTCCCCGTCGCAGCAGCAGCAGCAGCAGCTCCACGGGGGCGAGGCAGCAGCCGGGCACCGGTACGCATTGAGGTCCCGTGCCCGCAGGGCCGAGCCGGCGGGTCAGCGAGCGGTTACACCGGCCAGCGAGAGTGACGGCGGCAGCAGGAGCACCGGTAGCAGCAGTGACGGAGGTGCTGACAGTGACGACGACTTTGTTGTGAGCGTTGTTGATCGAGCGACGCGGCAGCGCACTCGGCAGCGCAGCGCGTCACCACAGCGGCAGCAGGTAACTGCACTAGATAGCGGGGTATGATCACTGCGTGTTCTGTCTTGCCCTCCTCCGCTTAGACATTGCTCCCTGAAGGCGCCGTGGCAGCATGCCTTGATGCGTGCATCCTGGCTGTGGTTGAGTTTGCCGCGGAACCCCTCTCTTGCCTGTATGAACAGGGTAGCGGCAACGTGCGCTCGACGGCCGCCCGTGGCCCTCCTTGCACTGCCGCCGGGACTGCCGCCGCCGCAGCAGCTCCCATCTACACAGGTGCCTATGGCACAGCGGACCCTGCCCCTGCACCCGCACCCGCCCGCAAGCGCGGCTTGTCGGCTCCTCCAACCGGCCCCGCGTTGCAGCGCATCCAACCGGTGCTCGCCACGGTGTTCCCCAACGCCAATGCAATGATCATGGTGGGTACCCAAGCGGGCAGTGAGCGGCCCCAGTCGTCGCAACACGTGTCCCAAGCGTGCGGAATGGAGCAGCACTTTGGAATGCGAGCGTGGGGAATGCCGGCTTGCTGCCATTAGGGTCGCCGTTCATTTCTTATCCCTTGCCCCATGCTTGATGAGCTGATGTCCGCACCCCCCCGTGGTAACGCTGTGCTGTGCTGTGCTGCGACGCATGCAGGCGTGCAACAAGGCGTACGCGTCGTACAGGCTGCCCCTGGATGTGTTGCGATCGTACGTCGCTCGTCAGGGACGCCCGGTAAGGGCAACAGCACATGGAGCCCTGCATTGTCTTCAGTTGTCGCCCTTCAAACCTCGCTCGCCCGTTCAATGTCACCAGCTGAGACCAACCTTGCATGCGAGGTGTGATGTATGTCGTCCTCCTAGACCATGACGTCCATTTTGCTGCTGTCACTTCTGCTTGCAGCACGGTTTCGAAGTACTGGAGCACTGGCTCAACCTCACCATGGAGGTGCGCATCAGCTACCAGGGCGAGAGCTTCACCGCCAGCTACCGGGTGAGTCAGGATGCATGGACATGCAGGGCCGCAGCTGGTGTGTATTGACATGCATGGCTTCATCTTGGTGGCCTGGTGCGGTGGAAGGTGCTGCCAGTGCAGCTCGGCATGCGGGGGTACGACACCACTAGACTCCTAGGCCCCTCCTCACGGCCGCTCCGCTGTGCCTCCTCACCGCCCCAGCTTTGCGCCGCCTGACCCGTCCCGCTGCCACCCAATCTACCCTACCCTCTCGCGCTACGCCCCCTCAGTTCAGCTCTGGCGTGAGGGCGAAGGACGCCAAGCAGCTGGCCGGGGCTGCCTGCCTGGAGAAGTTGCTTGTGGAGAAGGACGTGCGGTGGAGCGAGCTCTACCCCGCACCCCCGGGCTACAAGCAAGTGCAGGAGGTGAGGCGCGCTGAGGCCTCGATCAGCAAGGCGGCAGAGCAGGCGGCGGCAGAGCAGGCAGCTGCAGGACAGGCGGTGGCAGGACAGGCGGTGGCAGGGCAGGCGGTGGCAGGGCAGGCGGTGGCAGGGCAGGCGATGGCAGGGCAGGCGGTGGCAGGGCAGGCGGTGGCAGGGCAGGCGGCGGCAGGGCAGGCGGTGGCAGGGCAGGCGGTGGCAGGGCAGGCGGCGGCAGGGCAGGCGGTGGCAGGGCAGGCAGCGGCAGGACAGACAGCGGCAGGACAGGCAGCGGCAGGGCAGGCAGCGGCAGGGCAGGCAGCGGCAGGACAGGCAGCGGCAGGGCAGGCGGTGGCAGGGCAGGCAGCACTGGCTCGGGCGCAGGCAGGCGCGTCCACATCCGGGCGGGCGGCGCCCCCTCAGTCGCCCAGGGCAGCGGCGGCACCGTGGCAGGGGCGTTCCGGGCAGCATGCACCCGACCGGAGCTCGCCCATGCGGCCGGACCCTAGGCAGGGAGGTCATGCAGGCCCGGGCTCCTGGTCCGGCAGGGCAGGTGGCGACGGCGACTTCCGGCAGCCCACCGGGTACGGCCACCCCAGCTTCCAGCAGCACCCCGGCCCCTTCATGCATGGATGGGACGGCCGGCCCCCGTATGGACCACCCCCCTACCCGCACGGCCAGCCGCCCGCGTGGCCGTACATGCCGCAACAGCAGCCCTACTATTCGTACTCGTACTCCTACCAGCAGGGTGCATACCCGCCGGGACAACAGCACCAATGGAGGTGATGGCGGGCCGAGAGGTGAAGGTGGGTTTTGGCTTGTAGATGCAAGGTAGTGAACCGTGCCCGTTGGCTTTGGCCCGACAAGTGGCATCCTGAATAAGACCGCTATACGGGTATTTGCATATGCATGGAGGCTCGGTGTGGTTCGTAGTGAAAACCAGCAAGAGTAACCTGAGCTTGGGCAATGTGTCTTGTGGTTAAGTGAAGTGTCGAAACTCGGCCCATTCCAGTGTAAGGTGTTTATGATCTGGGGTTACTTCTTACTTGCACGTTAAGTCGTTAACATGCAGGGCATTTTAGCCAACACTGGACTCAGCAGCGAACCGGCCCAGTGGTGAGGAAGGCCAACAGCGCATTGCGCAGGTACCCGGGCTGCGCAGGATGGGCTGGGTGTGGGTTGTAGGCAGCTGGGCAGGTGGGCGGGCGCAGCTTGATGACTGATGAGTTTCCGCCCTCAGGGAGTAATGTGCTTAGGCATACGTGTGCTTAGGCTATGGCACTGATGCAGTGGCACCATGACCAGCCTCCGCATCCACGGTGTCATTGCCTGATGCAGTGCTGGGGTGCAGCACCTTTCTTTTGCTCCGACAGGGTTACCTATGTTACGGTGGGTTTGGTAGCTAAGGTTATATAATGAACAAGAGAGAGAGCGACGTGTAGACTTGTATGCTATATGGCCTCAGGCGTGGCTGCATGGGCGGCAGGATGATACTCTTTCCTTGATACGTCGCTGGTTGTGTCGCTAGCCTTCAGGGCGTGACAATTACAGAGTCAACGTCCTGGTACGGAGATGCCGTAGGCATCACTCTTTTCTAGACTTTAGCGTCCATGCCAGACACGTTTACCGCCAGACTCGCCCTACATGCTCATCCGTTACTGGAGATGTGGCTGCGGTCCTTGGGCGTATGACGAGTACCGTGTTGACGATTAATAGTCTTGGCGGATGTTGTAAGGTTTTTAAGAACTGTAAGTCTGTTACTAGTGACTCAAATGTCTGATTACTCGCGGTGTCCTTGCTGCCAGGAAGTTGCCAACTCTAACGGGGGAAGATAACACCCCGGTATCCCCCTTGCCCTGCGGGCCTAGGATTCCCCAGCGGTGGCTTGCAACCCGGCTTGCCTGGGCCACCGTATGCAGATACAATCGAGCTAGCAGCGCATCCGTAACCCAACCTGCTCGAGCTTCTCTTCGAGCGGGTGGGCGGGTAACATAAATCACTACCTTTTAGATCCCTTCATATGTCTAATATCAGATGAATTCAAGGCAATGGACATACGTGCGAGGGGGAGGTCACATTGAACACTTTAAGCCCTAATCCGATCCGAGGCCACTTGCCGTACATGGGCCCCCTTTCCACGAACGCTACTGTTCTTGCCCATAGCACCAGTGTCTACTAATGGGGCTCCGGGGCTTCAATGATACGATAACACGTCCAAAATAACCCACCCAGGAAAAGCGACTTGTCGGTTTCTCCCGCTGTGCTTTATCTCCCTTTTTGTAACAATCGGTGAAGCAATATTTATATAGTCGTTGCCTGAGCACACGCTTTCCTGAACTATGCAAAATGAAGGCGTCGCTTTCCGGACAAGGTCCCGCGTTAGAGGAGCACCCCTAGCTGGAAGAGGAAATCTGTCGAATAACACTTCGCGGAGTACACGTGTGCTGCCAGATGCCTCCGTCCAAGCGCGTAGCAGGCGGACCAGTCGGGTGTTAGATTCACCTAGGTCCAGAAGTCCAAGTACGTCCAGGGCCTCAAAAGATGGCGATGAGGCCTCAAGCAGCCAAGGCATTTCCAATGCCAACAGAACTCAGAGCCATCTTTCTGAAGACCGCATCGATGACAATGGGGATGCAGAGCTTATCTCACCGCGTAGTCTCGGGCGCCTTCGCCGTGGTCCTCCTCCGCGAAACCCATCTCCTGAGCCTGCGAGTTCAAGTGACAGCGACGTAGTAATAGTGGAGGTCCGTCGACGTGAGGTTGAGGAAGTCGTCCTGTCTGAACCCCCAGCCAAGCGCCTCCGGTCTGCCCTAGATACACGGCTGCCAGGACCTCAGAGGGGGGAAAGCACAGCAAACGGTGAAGGCATCAGCGGCGACGAGCTCGGGGAGGAGGAGGAATTGCGGATTGTTGGAGAAACAGGACAGGTAAGCCCGAGTGAACAGCCTTCCCGAGTGTAACACCGAATGCGGCCTAATACTGGTGGATCTAAACTTGCCTTAGACACTACCGCAAGAACGCAGCTGGCACGCCATCTCTTGGCTATCAATTCGCCTGCCTAATCCATCTCTTGCAGCTACTGCCGAGGCACATCTTGGCACCACCCTGCTTAAAACATGCCCGCCCCGCACCCCCTGCCATGCGTCTTTGCCTCCTGCGCTCGGCCCAGGTGGTCACTCGCGATTTGCCCCACCCGCGGCCCCACTGCGCGGCACACCGCTTCAATGCTTCCGGCGCAGCCAGCAACCGCACCTACTGTGCGCAGGTACTTCATCATCGTGTACGCAACCCCTTGTCTTCCCTGATAGGGTTTAGCCTTGATCCTGCTTGGGCCGTTGGCATGGGGATGTTTGTTCTGCTATGCAGGCCCTATTCTACGCCTTTCTAAGCGTTCCTCCCTTCCCCCCCGCAGTGCTTCTGCTACGTGTGCGACGTCAAGGCCTGGGAGTGCGAGTTCTGGGGCACGGGTGAGTGGGCTTCTGCAGGAGGGCACCCCGATTGCATGGTTGTGATTGCTTGCACACGCTATCGCCCACAACATGAGGTGTGCCGCTGTGCTCTGAGCGTTACAGGACATCCCGTTTAAAACCTAACCCTACCCCAACTAACGCACCCAGGCCGCCGGGAGCGCGATCACGCCAACGCGCGCTCCCACCCCTACTGGAACAACCTCCGCCGCGCCGCCCGCGACGGCGACAAGGCCCTCGTCCGCAGGGAGTTCAGGGACAACGGACCCCTGCGGCTGCCCTCCACACCTGTGCAGCTACTGCAGCAGCTGCCGCGTCATCCGACCCCTACCGCGCCCCGTCACGACGCGTGGCGCCGCATGATGGCCGGCGACCCCTTCGCGTCCGAGCTGGAGAGGGAGGCTGACGTGTTCCTAGCAGCGCTGGCGATGGCGCTTGCGGGCGGGGCCAACCACCAGGGGGCTCAGGGGCAGCTGGCCGGGAACGCACCCGCTGCGGGCGGCTACAACGCCGGTAGCGCTGCTGTTGCTGCTGCGGCGGCGGCGGCGTCGCATCTCGGTGCAGGTGATGGTGGTTCTGTGGGCACAAGCAGGATCGGGCGGCGTCAGGAGGGGGCTGCACCTTCTCAGCCGCCAGGCGGTCAGTCGCAGGTCCTGCTTCCCTTTCAGCTTCCCCGCGTGGCCCAGCAGCAGCACCCAGTACTGCAGATGTCGTTTGCGCTGCCTCCGTTCGTCCAGCCCGCAACCCAGGAGCCGGCCTCCCAGCGGTGGGCTCCCAACCAATACCAGCAGCAGCCCCACGCGGCCTACCCGAACCCGCAGCTCGGTTACCCGCCACCCCCCTTCCACTACCAGCCTGCAGCGGCCATGCAGGCGCCCATGCAGGCGCAGGCACCGCAGCAGCAGCAACGACAGCGCCAAGGGCAACAGCAACCGCAGATGCTGATGCAGGTGCCGTACAACATGCCTCTCGGCCTTCCGCAACCGCAGCTGCAGGGGCAGCAGCTGTACGTCTTTGCGGCTCTGCCGCAGAGGCCGGCGGGTCAGCCGATGTAAGTTTAGATGACAGGGCAACCGGATGTGTTGCCGCATCATGGGCCGACGCCGCACAAGCAGCCAATGCGACTATCCCGGGTCCCACATAACGCACCAACGGGCCCGGGTAGCTGGCGTTAGCGGGCCATCGGCACCTTTCCCGCCGAGTACTTGATGGGGCGGTCTGTGTACTCTTTTATGCAGGAATGCTGCAGACTGCTGTACGGTTGCAACGACGTAAAGACGGCTGTTAGGCGGGGCCGGCGGGGTTCCGGACTGATCCTTTCTACCGGCAGGAGTCTGTTAAGGGCTCTTCCGGTGTCTGTGCTTCATGTCGACCTTCTCATGCAGTTATCGTATTTTTTAATATTATTCTCATGCCTGTACGGCGTTTTGCAGTTCAGCATTGTTGTACAGCTTCTAGTTTCCCCTAGATTGGTTTTCCTTGGCCTTCTACGTACCGTTCCGTGTGTCGTCCAGGAGTTCGTGCACGCTGGGAAGTGTGGGCACGTATGCACGTTTGGGGTTCTGTGCTATACCGCAGGAGAGGACAGAATGCAGGCAGGAGGGCGATGGCAGGATGCACGTGCTGCTTTCTGGGCTGGGACGCTTTTAAGCAGGATATGTTTGTGAACTTTATGATCGCATGGTTTGATGACGTGGCTGAAGATAAGCGGCAGTTGCCAATTGGGCCCTCAATGCCCCCGGACGTGAAGCCTCACTGATACGGTAAACCAGCAACTGTAAAGCGTTGGGCAATGGGTGCGTGGCCGCTTCCAAGAATGTCTTACGAGGTTGCTTGTCATGTTCACTCGGGGGTCTGCGTTAAGCCTTGATTGTATGGGGATATGTTGGATTTGCGTCGCTTGATGCTTGCCCAGCGCACGGACTTGTCAGACCTCTTTACACGGGATTGTACGCATAATATGGTCGATTGGCACATCGGAGCGGGCATTGCGTCGATTAGTCATTGGGTGCCGTTGGTTAAGCTTGACTGGAGGAGACGTGAGCACCTTCGTATCGGTTCCGCAGGATTAAGAGCATGTTAAGCCCGCAGGATTCGAGCATGTATGTTCCTAACTCGTGAGACAAGAGTTTCAAATACCGGTACCGGTAATGCTAGACACGTTGCTGGTATGTTTTCTCGGTACCGATGAACACTTTCCGGTAACAAGAAATGTTTCTGCGAGCCATGCCGCATGTATCAGCGCGAAAAGGCCTACCCAGGTGGCATAGACCCCAAGTGGGGGTTACATCAGGATTCAGTAGGATCCAATTGCCGTACGGACGTGTCTAGCCCCACCACAGAAGACACTCTAGCGCACGGAGCACTGGTTGTCTGTCCAACCCCTCGAGTGCAAACCATGGCCACATGAGTTCTGGCATTACCCAGGTCTTGCAGCTCTTATAATTGAAAGCCTAAAGCCACAACAGCACGCCCCTCTGGAAACGTTGCAGATAAGCAGCAGCCCCCATGCCGGCTCCTAAGTTCAGACTGCTTTAGCATTTGCTTCGACTAAATGGTGACCAGCAGCCAGGGTTTCGCAAAGGTGTGTTTTGTACTTTTGTTGCGGTGAAGCGCATGGCGGCAGGAGGTTCAGCAGCAGGGCACGATGGGAATCGCCGTACATGGCTGTGCCATATCGCAGCGTAGACAAGTTGTAGCTAGCAGCAGTCTCAGGTAGCAGCTAGCAGCTGGGCAAGTTGGAAGGACAGGTGGTAAGGTGGCATCCGCTAGGGAAGGCCGTAGGGCTGCACTCGAAGCATGGTATCTTGTAGGCGCCGCTGCCCGGGGTATTTGCCCGTCTCACGTTGCGGCTGGAAGGAAATCCGCTAGCTGTGTTTGGCAAGCACTGTGTCCGTGAGTTTAAAACACGCACAGCTTTACTGCACTCCAAGTCGCTGCTTTCATAATGCAGTGCAAGCATAGAGAAGGTGATGGTGGCAGTTGTGCCCATTCGAACGTTACAAGTTGTGGGATTCCTAAGCATATAACAAAGCCCTAGCCTGTGTAACGGTTGCTACAGCGCCCTCCTTCTTGAATTATTTCAGTTTATATTCTGAAGGCTCATCTAGTTACGGGCCGTGCGTCATCCGCAGGCCTCGTTTCAAGGTGTCGTTTCTATCGTCTACCACCCAGCTACTGCGCACGACATGCCTTAGTAAGATCATTCGTTTACCTGTGTGTTGCTGGTAAGGCTGAACATTTGCTAATACGCCGTTATGGTATAGTGGACGCTAGTTACCTCTACGCTTCGCAAGACGCATCGCAAGAACATATGCGACTTCTTTGCACCTAATGTGAGCATAGTATGATGGACACAAATCAACAGGAAGGCAGTCAAGATGATGATCTTGCTGCCGCTTTTGACGAAGGGTTTGATGAAGAGCTGCAGGATGAGGCGGTAGGTTGGGAGCTTGTACGCATATTGCTAGCGCTGCATTAAGTATCTGTTTGTTATTGTGAAGCTCGGATGTTATGATGTAGCCCGAGGAGGACGTGGCATCTGGCTCAGTTCACGACGATGAAGGCGGGAGCCCGGATTCTGGTTCAGAAGTCGACCTTGACGACTTCGCGGACCAAGCGTTTGCAGAAGTAGAAGCGCTTGAAAAGGAGACTGGTGAGTAGGTCGATGGGGGGCGCAGGCGTGTCCCCTCCCCGTGCCTCCCTCCCTCCATCGTACCTCCACTTGGCACCCGCGGTGCGCGCCCGACGCTGAGCTCAGTCTAGGCCAGATTGGCTCGCGTGCTTGCAAAGTTGCACCTGTTTACAATATACCGGCCCCGCGACCGCCTTCCACCCACCCATCAGGCGTGGAGGCTCGACCCGCAAAGCGTCAGCGTGTGGTCAAATTCAGTTCCACAGTCCAGGAGCTTGGCGACGGCTCCTCACCCGACGCCCCTCCCCTCTCCCCAGGTAATCCTTTTAAAGACAGAACCGGCAGCGGCCGGCAAGCGGCCCCCACCTCCAAGGCTGCCGCAGCCCCCTGCGCGCACCCAGTGTGGGTATTCGGGCTGTGCGGTGTATGCGGCCTGAGCAAGGAGGCCCTGGAAGGAGACCAGGATGACCGGTACGGGCAGTACCTGGGGGCCGCACCCGGGCAGAGCCAGCGGCAGCAGCGGGGAGGCAGTGGCAGCAGCGGGGGCGGGGGCGGAGGCGGGAGCGGGGGTGGTGCGGATCAGGGTGGCGGCGTGCGGCTGCGTCACCTGCATGCCAGCCAGGAGGTGGAGGTCAGCAGGCAGGAGGCGGAGCGCATCCGCAGGTGGGCGGCAGGAGGGGTGCGTGGAGGGAGGGATGGGCGGACGGGCCTACTGCGGAGGTACCCTACTTGCGCCCCAACCCACATCACCGCGCTCTCCGACCCAGATCGCCACCTTACATCCGCCACCTGGCCTCTCCCCCTTTCTCCCTCTCTCAGCCCCCCTCCCCTCCCTCTCACCCCACCCCAGGGACACCGTGTCCCGGCTGCTGTCCCGGCGGCGCCTCATCCTGATTCTGGATCTGGACCACACGCTGCTCAACTCGGTGATGTCCTCGGAGGTGGGGCCCGAGGCGGCGCCGAGGCTGGCGGAGCTGCAGCGCTTGGAGGAGGTGTGTGCGGGAGGGCGGGGCCGGGGGGGAAAGAGGAAACAAGACCGTGTGACCGGGAGGGCCGGAGGGAGCTGAAGGAGCGTGAGGGTAACACAGGGGGGGCAGGAGGGGAAAAATTAAATAAGTGAAACAACGAGTCCCAATCCCGTATCCCGACTCATGCAGTGAGCGCATTCGGAGACACAGGAGGGGAGGAGGGGAGGGCAGTGCCATGGAAGTCGGTGTTGTCAGCCTTTCCCTGGTGTGTTAACAGCCTTTCCCTGGCCGCACAACCCCTCCTTGCCGCTGCGTCCCGCCTGCCCCCCCAATCTTGCCGCCTCGGCCCCCCCCCCGCCTGCCCCCAGGAGGCCAACCTGGGTCCCCGGCGGCTGCTGCACCGGCTGGCTGACGGCAAGCTGTGGACCAAGCTGCGACCCGGCGTGTTCGAGTTCCTGGAGGTGCGCCGGGGAGGGGGGCGGGGAGGGGGGCGGGGGGGGGGCGGGGGGGGGGGCGGGGGGGGGGGGGCGGGGGGGGGGGCGGGGGGGGGGGGGCGGGGGGGGGGGCGGGGGGGGGGGCGGGGAGGGGGGCGGGGGGGGGGGCGGGGGGGGGGCGGGGAGGGGGGCGGGGGGGGGGGCGGGGGGGGGGGCGGGGGGGGGGCGGGGAGGGGGGCGGGGGGGGGGGGCGGGGAGGGGGCCGGGGGGGGGGCGGGGAGGGGGCGGGGAGGGGGCCGGGGGGGGGCGGGGAGGGGGCCGGGGGGGGGGGCGGGGAGGGGGCCGGGGGGGGGGGGCGGGGAGGGGGCCGGGGGGGGGGGGCGGGGAGGGGGCCGGGGGGGGGGCGGGGAGGGGGCCGGGGGGGGGGGCGGGGAGGGGGCCGGGGGGGGGGCGGGGAGGGGGCCGGGGGGGGGGGCGGGGAGGGGGCCGGGGGGGGGGCGGGGAGGGGGCCGGGGGGGGGGGCGGGGAGGGGGCCGGGGGGGGGGGCGGGGAGGGGCCCGGGGGGGGGGCAGGCCGGGATGAGGACTGCGCGCAGGAGCGGGTCTGCCTTCAAGTAACCCAACAACCCTACCTCCTCACCCCGCCCCCGTGTCGTTGCCATCACCCATTCTCGCCCTCCCCCACCCCCCGCCTGCAGGGCCTGCGGGACGTCTACGAGATGCACATCTACACCATGGGGGACAAGACATACGCAGCGGAGGTCCGCAGGTGCGGGGTGGCACGAGGGCGTCAGCGGTGGTGGGGGTGGTGGTGGTGGGGGTGGTGGAGGTGGTGGTGGTGGTGGTGGTGCGGGCGGGCGGCTGCATCAGTGGTGCCATGCGCAACCGCACAACAGCCCCCCTGCGCCGCCTCACCTGCGCCGCCATGCCGCACACCGCCGCCGACTGAGTCCCCGCCTCGCCTCCTTCCTTCCCCTTCTCTCGTGCAGACTGCTTGACCCCACGGGTCGGCTCTTCTCCTCCGTGATCGCCAAGGACCACTCCACCGCCGCACACGCCAAGCACCTGGACGTGCTGCTGTGAGTGGGCGGGGACTGGGTGGGGGGGAGGAGAGGAGGAAAGGGAAGGAGGGACGGAGGGAGCGAGAGAGAGAGGGCGGGTTCTGATAACGGTTGGTGTTGGCCCTTGCGCCGCCCATCTGCACCTTGCCACCCATAACTCCCCTTGCCTCGCTCCCCCATACCTGTCCTTCTCGCGACCTCTCACCCCCCCTGTCATGTCCTGTCTCGTGCTGCTGCTGCCCGCCCCGCAGCTCCGCTGACGAGTTGGCCCTGGTGCTTGACGACACGGAGGTGGTGTGGCCGGGGCACCGCCGCAACCTGCTGCAGGTGGGGGCTGCTGGGGGGGGAGAGGCGGAGACAAGGGTATACCAATTACCAAACCATAGGAGACCACGGCTTAGGGCAAAGCAATGGAGGAGTAGTTGGGAAGAGGGGGGAGGGGTGGCTTGAGCTGAGGGGGTTGCGGGTTTTGTGCAGCAGGGCTGCGAGCGGCAGCAGCAGGACGTGCTCGGCTACCTGGCATAGGCTCTGCGACTTGCAGTGGGGGCGGCCGGTGGCCTTACTCCTCCTCATCCACCTGCATGACCCCTCTGGTGGCATGCTGCAAGGTGCCGCACAAACCCCACTTCCCGACCTCCCTGATGGTGGTTTGATGTGCGACCTTACTGCTGCTGCTGCTGCTGCTGCCGTGTCATTACGCCCCGGGTCCCCGTGTGTCCTCCTGCCCGCTGCAGATCGACCGCTACCACTTCTTCCCCTCCGACCTGCGCAAGTGGCGGCTGGACGGCACTGCGCTGCTGGAGCAGGTGGGGGCGGGGAGCGGGTGGGGCAGGGGGGGAGAGGGGCGCGAGCTTGTGACGGAACAGGGAGCTGAGACCCCACGGCCTTGAGCGATGCCTTCCGCGTTCGCCCTGTCTCATCATAGTGCACCTTGTCCGCACTGGTCCCCCGCGGCGGCAGGGTCGCGATGAGAGCGCCGCGGACGGGGCGATGGCCACCCACATGCGGGTGCTCAAGGAGGTGCATGCGCGGTGAGAGAGGGGGGGTGAGGGGGGGGTGCCGGGTAGGATGGAGCTAGGTGGCAGTGCCGAGTCAGGTAACGGGTCAGATGGGAGGTCGCAGCAGCGGGTCGGGTGGGCTTGCGGGGTGCAGGGGGAGGGTGTGGGCATCAGGACACGGGTAACAGCCTAGCCGGCATAAGGACAAGGACGTACGGGCATAGTGGCACGTGCGAAGGGGCGAGCGGCGGCGCTCGGCAGCCCTTCTGGGGTGTACAGCGTCGGACGCTGCGGGCGATGGGGTGCGTGGAGAGCTCCATCTGTTTGGTAACTGGCAGGCGATGTGGCCCGGGCAACGGGTTAGCTAGGCACAGCGGAAGCGGGGTGATGGCAGAAGATATCAGCTGCAAATGCGCTCTGCCTTGGGCTGAACGGCGACACTGCAAGGCGCTTCATTTGCTCGGCAGCTACTACCCGGTAAACCCAAATGAGCCCTTCCTTGCCGTTACCCCCCGTCACCTCCTGTCCGCCGCATGCAGGTTCTTCTCGACGGACGACCCCACGCTACCGCCCCTGGAGCGGCGCGACGTGCGGGACGTGTTGGCAGCCCAGCGGGCGCAGATACTGCAGGTGAGTGAGTGGTCGCCTTACGGCTGCCTTGGCTGCCTGCAGCATTCCTGGCAGCGGTTGGTTGCATGCGCGTTGCGCGGGCGGCCAACACAGGATGGTTTTACGCTTGTTAGTACCGTATCAGCACGCATCGTTATGGGCCTGATGCAACTGCCCCCACCTGGTTCCTCCTTTCCCGCAGGGTTGCTGCATCACCTTCAGCAGGTGCTGGCCGCAGGTGAGGGACAACACAATGCGCGAGCAGATGAATGCACTGGAGCGCTCCCCGTATACCTTCCTGCCCTGCCTGCCTGCCTTGGTTTAGTCTTCTCGCATCTGTAGCGCTGCTGAGGGGGAAATTCGAGAAGCCACCCCAGGAGTCGCTGCAGTACCGGTAGCCCACGCGTGTGACCCGCGGGTCGCTCGCTGCTTGTCGCAGGACCGCAGCCCGCGTCAGGAGCCCCTGTGGCAGCTGGCCTCCGGGCTGGGCGCGCAATGCCGCAGCCAGTACGACCCGGCGGAGACGACCCATGTGGTGGCAGCGGCGGGCGGCACGGAGAAGGTGGGAGAGGGAGAAGGGGGGCAAAGCAATGGGGGGGGAGGCGGGTGGGCAGGTGCGGTGCCTCGGGGCTGCGGGGTTGCTAGCAGTGATTATTTTTTGAGCGATATATCGCTTTTTGAGCGATAAATAATTGGTCCTAGGGCCGTGAGAAAGCGATAAGGTGTCTGTGCCCAGGGTATCTCATCGCTCACACTCCCCGTGCCAGACCCTCTACATGCTAGGGATTTGGGTCCAGGCGGGCACTGGGACCATTGAGAAGCGCCTCCGCATTGGGGTTTAGGGGGCTATGGGCACGTGTGACCCCAGGAGGCCGCCTTAGGAAGCGATAAGCCCCGAAACCCCTCGGCTTGGCTGGTTGGGAAAGCGATAAGCGATTGTCCAGGCCCGGTTTTTATCGCTCTAGCAGCGATAGAAAATACCCCCTCGAAAACGAAAAAAAACGCTGGTTGCTAGTCCCGGCTGCTGCGTCTCTGCTGGTCGCTGCTGGTACCCAAGTGTGGGTGGCACAAGGCACCGCCTAGTGTAGAATACCGGCGTATATGAGGGATGTCAACCCAGCCCTGACCTGACCTGCTGAGTCAAAGCATTCGCTTCCCGGTTATGTTGCCGCCCAGGTGCACTTGGCTCGCAGCCAGGGCAAGGTGGTTGTGTCGCCCAACTGGCTGCACGCCTGCTCCTTCAGGTGGTTACGGGGGGTTAGGGGTTGGGGGTGCGGGCCGGGGACCTTCGGGCTGTGGCTGTGCTTGGATGGCAGCCAAGCAGCAAGAGTGCCGGTAATCAGGAGGGCCTACATTACGACTAGCTCCTACATATAACGCGCTCGTCCCTTGTCCTTGTCTTTGCATGATGAACTGAAGTTGGGGAGGCTGTGCATGACATGCACGTACACAGACCCATGGTTCACCGCAGACCTCCGCGCCTGTCCGGTCATCACTTATCTTGCAGGTGGCAGCGGGTACCCGAGAAGGATTTTGCGGTGCGGGAGCTGGGGTCCCGGGGAGGTGGCGGAGAGGACAAGGCGCAGGGGTGCGCCGGCGGGAGCGGGAGTGGCGATGCTGTGGGCGACAGCAAGCTGAGTGCGGAGGAGGAGCTTCGAGTGGTCATGGCGGTGGCGGGAGGAGGCGGGGGTGGGGGTTGAGGATGAAGGCCGAAGCGGGCAGCAGGGAGGAAGGGGAGGCTGCCGGAGGCAAGAGCAGAAACGTGGTTGCGGCTGGGTGACAGAACGAGCGGCCAGACGCCAGGTCGGGTGTAATTCGGTGACTTGTTTTGGCGCGATTCGTTGCACATTGATGGTTAAGCGAAAAGGATGCCTTTGGTTGGCCTTGTGTTTGGCTACATACCGGTCCATCTTGCCCACATTTCGCCTTGAAACCTGTAGAGCGCACGGAGCGCGGCTACATTTACCATACAAGGTGCAGCCCTAAACACAGCGAGCCACAGCACTTCTCAGTTACCAGCGTTACCGCTATTAGGATTACGTATCCTCCTGTCGTGCAGGCATGGGGTATTGGCCCCGAGACCCGTACCTCTCTTTGGAAAGCTTACACTTTGCCTGTGTAGACCATTAAGTAATTCTCGTCTTATACCGAGTCTTTTACAAGTCGCATCCTTAAAGTTGGTAATAAGGTGTTGCTCAATTGAAGCCACTCATATAGCGACTTAGCTAGATACAACTGCTAGGGGTCTATGCTTCACGACAACTCAAATGTGTGACTGACAAACCTATCCATTGTGTTCCGCGTTCATTTGCCAATTGAACCTTGTCATCTCACCTGAACGACACCCAGAAGCCCAACAGAATCGAAATGCACGATACGATTGACCTGACGCTGGATACCGATGATGAAGTGGAGCCTTGCCAGCCGAAGCGCCGTCGTTACATCCCACCCCCGCCAAGCGGGTCCGATGTCGTAATAATGTATGATACGGCCGACTCCGACGTACAAGAAGTCAGGCCCCCAATGGACAGGCAAGCAGCGCAGGCTGCTGCGGGCCAGGACGCGGGAGGAGGCAGCGGCGATGATGACGACGGATTCGACGACCTGATTATAACCGACGTGCGCGGCAAGGTGGGGAACAGAAATGGCCTGCTTGCCATTTCAGGTCATTGTTCTTTAGTCACCCGCACAACCGTTAAAGCTATTACTCATCCATCACAGGCGGCGACCGTCGACATGCCGCATGAGAGGCCCAACTGCGCGCACCATCGCTTTACCAACGGCGTCGATTTGTCTAACCGTAGCCACTGCGACAAAGTAGGTGTAGCCAATGAGCGGGGGTGCGCTCGCCAGGGCGCTTAACTAGCCCGCATGGCTCGGGGGCCCAGGGTCCGGTGCTGCCTGCTTGAACCGCCCTGGCAGGGATGTGGGAAGCAAATCATCCATAACGAGCGCTTACGGGGTAGCGGAGTGGCACAGAGCCGTGGACCTGGCAAACGACCAGTCAAGCGCCGGCTCCTTGAGCCCTAACAACCTCTTAACCTTTGTTTCCTCTTTCCCCCCCTAAACGTCCCTTCCCGCCCAATGTCCCATTTCTCAATCCCCTGCCTCCTACCCCCCCCCCCGCAGTGCTTCTGCTATGTGTGCGACGTGGAGGCGTCCAAGTGCGAGTTCTGGGGCACGGGTGAGCAGCTGCAAAGAAGTTGCCAATGGCCCCCGTTCCTCCTTCCCACAGTTCCCTTACGCAAACCCTTCAGCCCTCACCCCCATGCCACCTCCCCCCTCGCAGGCGACCGCGCGCAGGACCACTGCAACGCCTCTGCGCGCGCCCCCTACATCGCCCTCCGCCGGGCAGCCAGGGCGGGTGACACGGCGCGGGTGCGCGCGGAGTACCTGGGCGCCCCCAGCGCCCACGCTGCCAGCCAGCTCTCCTCCAGTGCCGCGCCGCAGCGGGCGGGCGGGCAGCAGGCGCAGTCCAGGCCGCCGCAATCTGCTCCGCGACACACGATGTCTGCACTGGCGGCGGCGGCGGCGATGCCAGGTCACATGGTTCAGCACAGGGGGGCCCTACCGGTGCCGATGGAGCCGCTGCAGCAGCCGCTGCAGGTGGAGGAGAAGCAGCAGCTGCTGCAGCTGCATGCGGGCTGGCAGGGCGCGGAGCAGCGGCGGGGGGAGCTGCGGAGGCGGGGGCACGCGTGGCAGGGCCAGGCGTTGGCGGGGGTGCCGGGGATGGGCGAGAGAATGCAGGGGCAGCACACCGCCCAGTACGCAGCTGGGTTGTAGGGGGTGAGGCATTGATGCCTGGTGCCGGGCGTGGCAGAGCATGGAGATGCAAGGCTGCAGGACGTGGTTTTGAGTGTGTGGGCATTGGTCACATCGCTGGTCTCCACGGCGGTTGACGTGTACATATCGGTAGCTAGGTGGTTGTGCATACAGAGATTGTCGCGCCTTGGGTCGCAAGTGTCGCGAGTTGATGGAGCATATGTCGGGGTTTGCAGCAGGGGCAGATGCTTACCGCAGGATTTGCGGCTCTGGAGGTCGAGGCCCGGGCGGCTAGGTAAGAGCTTCCGGACCATCGGGTACCGATACCGGTATACGACGGATGGCAAAACGTCCTGTTGTCCTGTTGCCCCCCGCCCCCTTGCTGTCGTAGCTTCCCGTTTTCATGTGATGGGTTATCACTCAAGGCGAAGCCCCTAAGGGCTGGGCTTGACGTGTGAGTGCGTTTGGATGGTCCCGTTTACGGATTTGTAGTTTACGACAGTTGTACCTTGTTGGCAGATCTGTACAGGAGAGTGTGTTGAGTGGATGCTGCTAGGCTGAGAGCATTGTTGGTCGGTCGAGTCGCTTATGGCCAAGCCCAACAGTGGGATTGTTGCCCTTTGTTATTTGAATGTTGTTTTCGTTCCTTTCATTTCGAGGATTAGATAAACTGAACCGAGGATGGTTGCTGTCTTTCTGTAGTAGGAGGGACGAGGAGCACAGAGGAGCGTGTAGCGTTTGTATGGACCCATGGCCCATTGGCCCTTTGCCCGAGCTTTGTCCATGTCCTGAAATGGACTGGCGTGCCCCGATTGGGAATGTGGGTATCGGTTGCAGCGGGCTGGTACAGAGAGCTACAAGTAAGGAGGGTTCAGCTCTTGGACAAGGAGCCTGCATGTTGTCAAGAACAGCTTGAATGCTGTGTGCAAGGTTGTTTTTTTAATGTGTCAGCTTCTGAACTTAGCAGCGGGTGCTCTCATGACGATGAAGCTGTCAGTTTGCCGGCCGTGTTCTGCTGTCTGCATTGAAGTACAGCGGCAGGTGCTGGTTGGGACGTTTTACACAGGGTTGCAGGCTGTGAACGGGCAACCCTGGAGTGCATCCAGTACGATCCGTGGGCGTATGAGCTCCTTGGGAAGGTTGTAGGAGGGGTACGAGCGCTAGGTGGCACACGTCAGCGTTGCTTGATAACTTGACGGCTTAAGCCGCCACGCGAGGGCTTCGGTTAAAACCTTTCCGCCGCCGCCTTCCGCCCTGCAATACCTACATGTAATGCTAGAGAAGGAAACATGGCGCCCAATTCCTAGCATGACAGGGCGTGGCAGAGTTAACGGCATTATCATGAGGATTATCGGCAAAGGGGTTGAATGAAGAAATGCCACAACACGCCACATGCTTCCGAAAAGTCGTTCACATGACATCTTAGCGTCGCATGTCGGGCCCACTAAGCCAGTGGATCCTATGTCCACTGGGATAGTGCAACGTTGCCCACTAAGTCAGTGACTTGCAATACCTTTAGATACGTTTGTAACAATGGGACTTCCATAGGAAGATAGGATGGTTCCTCGGCCTACACGCTGCGGTGTTCAACATTGCAAAAAAGGCAAACGAGTGACGCGCTGCGTTGGAGTAAGATTACTTATAGACCGGTAGGGGCGGTAGGGGTGGTAGGGGCAGTAGGGGCGGTAGGGGCGCATGGGGCGGTTCGGGTGCATGGGGCGGTAGGGGTGCATGGGGCGGTAGGGGCAGTAGGGGTAACGGAAGATTGGTAGTGGGGGTACTAGGAGAGTTGGGGGTGGTGGTAGGAGGTGGTGGTAGGACATGGAATCGATGGGGGTACTGGGGGTACCAGGGCCCTAAAACCCTTACCGTCCATTTGTGCACATGTGAGTAGCTTTAGGCCGGTAGCGAACACAATTATTTCTACTTTACTACTTAGAGAAGCACCGTTAGACTATACTAAAGCGGATGCGGGTTGGCGTCACGGCCGTCAGGCTGGCTCACGGCTCTGGATACTGTACTCGTGGACTGCTTTAGGATGTTGGAACTATGGATTAAACAAATTTATCTCTGAACAGTTTCAATTCTTTAGCACTAATTAGTGGGCAACGTTCCACTATATTAGTGGACTTAGGATCCACTGGCTTAGTGGGCCCCCCATTCAGTTGCCAGCATCGACGCTCTGGTATGACAAACCTGGGCTTTGGCACATAACTGGAAGTAGCATATTGTAGTGTGGGGCTATGTCGCATAGCCTATGCGAGATATTGATCTTGTTTGCATCTTGCTGCGCATGATATGCGTGCTACGCAGTGCAAGTGCTGTACAACGGATTGCACCCGCGCTAGTCGCCTTGCTCCCGTTAGCCTAACATCTCGATGTGCACTTGATAACTGCGGGTAGTCGTTGCATCTATCCTTTATTTCGGTTAAACCTTGCATTTAATTTTAAACAGTCAGCTGTCCACTTAGCATACGCTGAACTATGGTGCGCGTAGCCATAGACCTAACATTAAGTGATGATGAACATGAAGTACTGCACCTGTATAAGCGAAGTCGTTCTACTGCGCCTGAGGCCAGCAGCTCCGATGTTGTGATAATGCGCGACACCGCTGACTCTGACGTTGAAGACATCAGCCCACAAGAGTTTAAGGAAGCAGTTGCAGCAGCTACGGGCAAGAAAGCTGGCGGAGGGGAGGAAGCGGAGTCTCTGGAGGACGATGACATTGTCATTACAGCCAGCTACGGTCAGGTCGGCATGGTTTGCATGGGCTTTGCATCGATCTACAACCGTTCGGAAGATCTCTTAAGCTTTACCGCCTTAAATATTTCCGTTGCAGGCGGCGACAAGGGACATGCCCCACCCACGTCCAGATTGCGGTGTCCACAGCTTTACCACCGGGACTTCTAAATCCAACAGCAGCCACTGTAGCAACGTGAGTCTCGACCCTGATAACCTATGCCACGGGCGTTGCAAGCAGTCAAGCAGTAGCGTGTAGACGAGCTGTGTAGGTCAGGACCAAAGCATCATGCGTTCCAGAAGTTAGCAGCTGTCCAGCCATTTCCCCTGCTAAAACTACCTCATCCCGCATCGCTGCCGCTACGCAGTGCTTCTGCTACGTGTGCGACGTGAAGGCGTCCGAATGCGAGTTCTGGGGCACGGGTGAGGACAGTCACGAGGGTGGGGCCCACACTAGGTCGTATTGGGTCATGGGAATTCCTAGCGACGCAGTGCCCGTTCGCATGCTCTCCCACTGGATGCAATGGACACATTGCAGAGATTCAGCCTCCCCATAGGTTGGCCACGGCTCAACCTATGCCTAGCCTTCCCAACCTTTGATCGTGGCCCTCTTTCCTCCCGTGAACCAGGCGCGCGCACCCAGGACCACGCAAACGCAATGCCGAAGGCGTATTGGGACCGCCTGCGGCAAGCGGCAAAAGTGGGCGACAAGGCAAAGCTCGCTGCAAAGTTCAACACGCACACGGCCCGCAAGAGCAAGCGCATGTCCCGGCGGTCGTCTCGTTAGCGCCAGGAAGCACCCACATCTTTGACCCTTGTGAAAGCTAAGTGTACGGAACTGTCGGAGGGATGTAGATTGCGAAGCATGCAGGATGCGACGTTGCTAAGTGCAGGATGCGTTTAAGGGATAGTGAACATGTCCAGACTGCCATGGTATGGCTTTCACGGCATAACTCCATGGCTTTACTGGGCAATCCTTTTATGTGGGAGTACTTCTAGAGGCGTGTATACACTACTTGCGTTTTGTTAACTATGTGCCATGCCAGTGAGTATTAACAGGAGGGACTGGCATTAGGGTTGACCTTATCTTCGGTAAAGAGGTGCCGTGAAACAGAAGGCACTATACGCATCTTTGCGGGTTCCCATGCCCCTGTCCAGGGTGAGACATGCCTTGCAGGAGCGCTAAGCACTGCGTACCGCACTGGGACTAAGGTACATTGGTGCCTCTCACCTTTGATTGATTATCCCTCTCACCCAATCAGTACGGGACCACACCCATTATGTAACTGTAACAAATGTACACCGCGATATCATGCGCGAGAAGGTTTTGTACAAGCAGCGAAACAGCTAGCAACCCCCTAGGTAGGCATGCCCCGTCGTGGTTTGGGGCGGTGACGTGGCAAGAGTAAGCGCGGGTATTGAGCGGTCTTGCGGCGCGTCAAGGAGTATGGATAATGTGGGGCACCGTAGCGTGCGGTGGGAGGAGGCTGATTGCAGCCGGTCGTGGTCATGTGCGGCAAGCGCGCCACGGAACAGCTTCCAGGATAGCGGCGGCCGCCGTGTTGCGTGGTTATGGCGAATTAGCATCAGGGCAGTGGTGTCACGTAACAGGAGCTGGATAGCGGCTAGGCAGCGGTGTTCAAACGAATTAAGGGATTCAGCTAGGCGGCAGTGTTGAGAAGGCATGGCGAGATTGCGGCGGGACAGCATTGTCCTTCCGGGCATGGAGGGAACGCGGTTAAGCGGCGCGGTGTTGCAAAGTGCGTGGCGAGGTTGCGACTGGCTGCAGTGTTGCAAAGTGCATAGCGTGATTGTGGCTGGTGTGTGACACAGGTCAATTGGTAGCATGATGTGTATTATGCATGCGACAAACCATACCTGTCCTGAGATCAGCTAAGGTAGCAAATTTGATAAAACTTGGACTGGGTCCCGTCCGAAAAGCCCAGTGAGAAAGGGAGGACATTAGAACCCAGTGCTTGTGGTGTACGTTCCAGAACCTGGGTGTCACGCTATAGCGTGTGCACCGTCATACTTTGTACTTTCTGTATTGGGTCTTCTAGCGGGATTGGTTCTACGCATTTCTGCCGTGTTGTCATACCTTTGGCGGTAATAAGGGTGCCGAAAGGAGAGTCCAGGGGACACATAGCAGCGGTTATCATCAGCTCTCGACCAGCTTGTGCCCAACATCTGGGTCGCTCGCTGGGGGATAGAATAAACCAAACCACAAAGGTAGGGCAAAACAATGGGTATTGTTGGCAGGGAGCCACAAAACATGGGAGGGTTAGCAGTCCAGCGGGGAGGGAAGAGTCCAGCTTTGCGCCCCACGTCTGGGTCACACGTTGGGGAATGGGAGAGTCGACCATGCGCATGCATTTCATGTCACACGGTGTGACATGGGGGTTCCTGTAATAAATATAGAGTAAGCCTTATCGTGCTGCTACATTGGGCGCCCCTTGCGGCTTTCCCGAGTAAGACATGCATCGCTTTACTCTGTTGTACTAAGACCAATGAGCCGAAACGGCCGCATCGTGCCGTATCCTGATCAAGTAGGTTGGCCAGTTTCCGCTTCAGTGCAAATGCAGACCCTTTACAGGCGTCAGAACCGCTCATGCAGCGGTTGCCGGCTTCCACAGCACGAGGTACCGCGTGACTCAGCAGCCCGCCTACCACACCGGTATGAACATGGCCCTTGTTATGGCAGAAGATATAAAAGGCAGTTCTTGGCGTCATTGTGGGGGCCTTCACTCTTGCCGCGGACCGCGCCTTACGTTGCCCGGTCTGAACTGCTATGGTAATTGCTATGAGCGGACGCGCCGCAAAAGCTGGGATTTTACCGATATGATTGTGCAGTAATTGTGTTTCGTGATTGACATTTACTGTGCATGCAGAAAATAAAAAGGTTACGAGGGCAAAATGCCAGGCTGTCGCACATGGATTTCGTCGTACCGTGTCATGTATGCGATGCAGGTCTTCCGACGTGCCTGAACTGACTTTTATTACTTGCCATGTGGTAATACGTACTAAACTGTACTATGGTTATACTGGGAAGAGGCGTCTATTTGTGCTGAAGGGATATTATAATGGCGCACATCGTGATTGAGAAGCATCGGCGGTTGAGCTTTTGATAACCTATATACAAGCCTCTCACAGCTGGAAGCGCTGATACAGAAGTTAGCGTCGAGGTCGGTTATTGGCGGGTCTGCCATCGGCCTTGACCAGCTTTGCTACACTGTTAACGTCCCCGTTTGGTAGCACAGCGTGAGCATGTCTAAACGGCCGACAGTGGACCTAACGCTTAGCGATTCGGACGAGGAGCCAGCGGCTAAAAGGCGGAGAGGGGGCTCTTTGGCGCAAAAAACGGAACCCCAAGCGGAGGACAGCGATGTCATAGTGGTTGAGCCTGGTGGCAATGGCTTGGAGGTGTCTGGCCCTCGAAGTCGTCTTGGTCACGCCAACGCTCATGCGGATGGCGAGGACTTGGGAGAGGAGGACCTTCTTATTACCGGAACCACAGGCCAAGTAAGAAGCCACGGAAGCCCAGTGGCATTCTCTCCTGTAGACCGATATTTGTGCTAATATGTATGGGCGTGCACCTTTCCGTCAGGTGGCCACGAGGGACCTTCCTCACCCGCGGCCGGACTGTGCAGAGCACAGATTTGCTCTCGGTGCAACGACCGATTCCAATGCGGCCCACTGCCCGCAGGTAAGGCATGTGTTCTGTGCCGGGGCATGGTACAAAGCTTCTTCTGTAACCTGCTGTAACCTGCTTTGACGCTTAACTGTGCCGAATACCCTTTGCGTGCGCAGTGCTACTGCTACGTGTGCGATGACAAGGCGTCCAAGTGTCCCTACTGGGGAACAGGTAGGCGCTGTGCCCTTACATGATACCCACCCAACTCTGTTGTGCTTGCCCGGAATCGACTGCAACTTTATGCTTTAGTGAAGGGGATCCCACCATCCTATGCTCCTAACCGTCACGCCTCACTTTAGCCCAACACCCGGCGCCCAACGAACCTTCCCACATGCACAGGTCGCCGCGAGCGCGACCACGCCAACGCCCGGCCCATTGGCTACTGGAAGCGCCTTCGTGATGCGTTGAAGGCAGGCAACCGCAGCTTCATCCAGAGCGAGTACAATGGCAGTGGGCCGCTGGGCTCGGGGATCCCGCCCCAAGGGATGCAGCAGACCCGACTGCCCTTCCCTCACACCGGGAGCAGGCGCACCTCAGTGGCTGCCACCACTCCTGCACCCACTGCCGGGCCTGCGGCTGCTGCCACCGGAGCAGGTGGGACTAGCGCTGCGGGTGCCGCAGCTCACGGTCGCTCCTCCCTTGGAGCAGCCGCTGCGGGCGCGGGCACCGCAGCCACTCCCATGGGCGGCCAGCCCGCTCTCCGTCCGTCTGGGGGCTCCGGTGCTGCCGCCGCTGCTGGTGCCGCCGCAGCAGCAGCCACGGTTCCGCCTTCAGCCACCCCAGTCGCACCGCGTACCACGCTGGCGACAGCACCCGCAGCTCCAGCCGTGAAGGCAGCCGATGCGGCGAAGACGCCGACAGCGACGCTGCCCTCTGGTGTGTGCAAGCTGCGGCGGCTTCCCGACCTAGCCACTGAACGCCAGTTGTTTCAGCTTGGAGTACTGCGGTTCAGCGTGAAGGTGGGGCCCTCAAGTGGAACACTCAAACTGTTACCTTAACAAGACGTACCTGCACTTGACTACTTCCTACGAGACCAATGGTTCGCGAGCTTCTTCACGGCCCTGTTTGCATGCTGTCTGCAGGCTGCTCGTGGGCTTACGCTGGCAGCTGTGGCGGAGCGTGTGGAGCGCTTTGGGTTCTACTACAATGTGGTGGCGAAGCGGGAGGATTCTGGGGATCGCTTGCCGCTTAGTGTCCTGTTTGAAACCAAGGGCGAGACCCGCAGCGGTAAGGGAATTGCTGCTTGGAGGTCTGCAGCGCAGCCTGACTGTAGGGCAACCATTTGGTTTGGTAGAATCTGCTGGTGAAATGTGGACGGCACACACGTTAAAGACGAATGCCTTAAAGCCTCTACGTATAGCTTCGGCGTGCCTGCTGTGCTGCGACGTCCCTACCGCAGGCGCCTACAAGAGCAAGCCGCTCTACCTGAAGATGCTGCCGCTGCCTCCCTCGCCCGAGGAGACGGTCCCTGTGCCCACAAACCGCGTGCGCAAGGCAGGTGTACCCCAATAAAGCGCCCCGCACACACCAGTTTCCTTTAGTAACACACCCAGTCCCGCGCCGCCTGCCCCCGCCTAAAAGCTCCTTCTTGCCATCCTCCACACGCCACCCCTTCCATACCTGCCAGCCCTTCCACCCTACTGCCTTTGTTCCTTTCCCACCCCTGCTCAGCCTCCCTCCCTCCCTCCGCCCCTGGCGTGTGCAGGTGCTTGTGGTCGACTGCCTGGGTCGCGCGCGCGCCACCTACATGGGTGTGCCGCTGCAGCACAAGGCCAAGCGGGCGGACCTGCTGGCCGCGCTGGCGCCCCGGCTGCGACCCGCCTTCAGCGCCAGCGCCGAGCTGCTGCACCTGATGTGCGGCAGCGGCCTGGACAGCAGCACCCTGTCGCCGGTGGAGTCGGAGGTGGGGGGGGATGAAAGAGCATACCAAACCAGACCACAGGTTAGGGCAAAGCAATGGGGGTAGGAGGCGGCAGGGTGCCACAAGACAAAGTGTTGGTTTGTTGGGGGGTGGGGGTGGGGTGCTAGCGGTGGTGGTGGGTGTATGCTGATGTGGGGGGCGGGTGAGCTTGGCGCGGTGCCCCATGTGTTGAGCTGCACGAGTGTGTAGCAGGTGTGGCTAAGGTCCATCTGCTTGCATGGTTGCGCTGTGTTTTTGTCTCCTTGCGCTGAGCCCTGGTGCCCTTTGGTTGTTGGTGATTGAGTTTGCTTGGCGGTTGTGCCGCTCGTGTGTCTGTTGTGCCACCTGCAGCGGAACCTGGATGACGGCTTCTTCGATTGCTACAACTGCGCTACGGAGGACCGGTACCACGTCATCGTCTTCCGCACTGCGCACCACCCAGCGTAGGTTTGTCGTAGCGACCATTAACCCCCGTATGCGGTTGCACGCCCTCTCATGCTAGGCCTTGGTTCGATGTGGGTTGCTACAGGTATAGGACGGGAAGACAGAAACCAGGAGGGCAAGAAATCCCTGGTAGCCTCTGGAAAAAAAACGCCTGGAACCGGTCTTACACCATTCCCAAGCCTTGTGTCCGCACATCACACAACCTGACTTGCCCCATTTCCCCTCCCATTTCCCCTCCCATCCCAGTCCCTCATGGGAAGACTCCGCCGACTCCGGCACTGCAACATCCTCCAAGTCACCCCGGAGCGACTCCACAGCGCCTCGGTGGGCGCAGAAGCCACCCGTGTACAACCACAGCTGCAGCAGCTCTTCAGCCATGAACATGTACGTGAGCAATGTCGTACCCGCCTGGATCACCGTACATGTACGGCAGCTGCTGCCGGCTCCGGGCCCAGATGGCGACCGCTACGCTCCCAGCACCAAGCGGATGTCCGTACCGCTGCTGATGCCGTTGCGAAAGGAGCACAGCAAGGGGGGGCATGCGGCGGAAAAGGAGATGAATACCGCGCTCGTGCGGGCTCTGCAGGTGCGCAACAAGAGGGGACAGCAGGGCTGTCGCACGTCGCTTAGCTGGCGGGTCCTAGGACTCCTAGCCTTGCCATCGTACATGGGGTTCCTTGAAAACTCCAAACGCACGCCTCACTTTCAAGTAGCCCTTTTTTGAATGCCGGTACACCTCTCGTTACATTACACACAATGTCGCTCTGACACTCCACACGTGTCACCTCGCAGCCGTACCGCTCTGCCTCGGGGTCCGCCTCCGCCGCCGCGCCCATCCTGCTGCTGCGCGGCAGCCGCGGCGCCACCCTCACGGAGCGGCCGCCGCACGTGTCGCGGTCGCACCAGTTCGGCCACTCGGGCGAGGCGCTCACCACCTGGCCGGGCAGCAGCCAGCTCGTGTCGCTGACGGCGGTGTGGCCGCAGGTGGGCGCTGCCGGTACTGTGGGCAGAGCACAGGGTTGAAGGGCTCCTGCGAAAAGGCGCAGGTTTCGCCCCCTTAGAAACTCCCATGGGTTGTTTTCGGATGGTCTTTCGGATTACACTGCTCACTAACGTCGTGTTTACAGGACCTAAGCGGCGGCGCGTTCGACGAGGCGGCGCTGCGAACTCCGGTGGTTGACCCCAGCGCCGCGCCCGAGGCCTTGCTGGGTAAGCCCCTGGGCCCGCAGCCTACCCCCGCAGGCCCTGTTGTGGGCAGTAGGAAGCCTCTGGCGCCCGCATGCCACTACGCTCACCAGTCCTCGCCTGCCAATGTTTGCTGTGTAAACGTTGTGTGTGTTGCAGAGTCCACGGCGTACATCGCGGAGGCGAAGAAGCGAGATGCGATGCTAAACAAGCGCAAGGTGAGATTACCGGTAGAGCCGTTGGTGCCGACAAGATCCCCTACCCTAGGGTGCGGCACCTCACGCTAACACTTGGCGCTCTTAAGGAGCCCAGTCGCCTTGCCTAACAGCAACAGCCCTTCCTTTTGCGGATGCCCTGTTGTGCTGGATGCGCCCTCCTCACGTCATCGTCCAACACACTGTCCCTCTCCTCCGCCCTGCCTCCACCCGCACCTGCGCTCGCACAAACCTGCCAACCGCCACCCGTGCGCTGCCACTTCCCACCTCCAACCTCCTCAAAAACCCCGACACCAAAGCCGTCCCTTCTGCCTCTCTCCCCACCCCACAGAGCCTGCCCACCAGCTGCATTTCGGAGCTGGTCAACTGCTCCCGTCGGCCGCACCCCGAGGACAAGACCACCATCGCCTCCATGAGCTCGCAGCAGGGCGGCTGCAGCTGCTCGCTGGCGCTGGACGTGCGCCTAGTGCCCAGCAGCGGGAGGGGGCACGAGCGGGAGGGAAAGCTGGTCGTGAAGGTTAGGAGGCAAGGGAGACGGAACAGGGGGGGTGCGGAGGAGCGAGTGGGGCCGCGGCACTGCTTGCGGTTTGCGTATCACCCTTTTTTGACACGTACTGTGCTGATGTTGTTGTGTGGGAAAGCTGGGAAGCATCTACGGTATTTCGTGTGGGGGTCTGTGCGTGTGGAGCCGGGCTGACGCCTCCCAGCGTGCTGCGTACCGTAGTCCGCTGCGGTGCCAGCAGGCCTGCCAGCCGCCTCCGTCGCCTCCCTCCCAACCCGCCCAACCTGTCCCAACCTGTGCGCAGGTATACACCTGGACCGCCAACGCGGCCTTCAAGGAGTGCCTGTTCAGGGCGTGGGTAAGCATCAAGGCAGTGCGTTTGGGGAGATGGGACATCAGCCCGTCACCGCAGCGAACCTGCTGAACTGTTTCGCCATGCCGCCTCCTACCTCTGTTGTCTGCCTACTCGTACCTAGCCTGCCCCTTTCCTGCTCCTTAACCCAACACACTCAACCCCCCCTTCCTCTCTGCCGTCCTGCCGCAGGACGATTGGCCCTCCCTGGGCAAGCGCGACACCGGCGCCTTCCCGCTGCCCGCCACCATGGAGCTCATCACAACCGGGCTGGCGGACCCCGACACGCACCGCCACATGGCAGCAGCAGCCGCGGGTGGGGCCGCGGGGCCCTCCACCTCCGCCGCCGCTGCAGCCCTGGGCCCCGTGCAGCTGCGGGTGCAGGCGGAGCGGGCGCGGGCGCGGGAGATGCATGCCAAGCTGCGGGAGCTGAAGGAGGGGCGGACGGCGGAGCGCGTCCGCTCCATCAACTCGCTGCTGGAGTTCATGCAGAGCGGTGAGGTCGGGAGTCGCATCGCGCATGACGGCGTAGTGGTGGTGCTGGATTGGGTCCGGTGCTTCTGGGTCTTGTTGTCCTTTTGGATCTTCTCTTGCGCTGCATCCACGCCTTCCTCAATTCCTCAAAGCTCACCCAGCCCCCTGTAAGCTGTAATACCCCTGCCACATCCGGCCAACGTGAAGCTTCACCTATCACCCCCCTTCACCTCTCTTCCCCGCAGGCGAGCTGCCCGCCGCGCCGCAGCCGCCCGGCCTCACCGTCACCATGCGCCCCTACCAGCTGCAGTCGCTCAACTTCATGGTCAGTCTGGAGCGGCTGGTGGACACCCCGGCGGACCGCGCCCCTGAAGACCCCGCGGCCGGCCCCTCCACATCCGCTGCCGCTGTCACTGCCCAGGTGGATCCCGCCGACCCGGATGCGCCCGACGGCGGCTGCCCCGGCGGCTACCGGCGGCTGTTCTGGCTGCCCGTGACCAGCAGCCATGGGCAGCGGTACTGGTACTCGCCGGTGTTTGCAGGGCTGGCGATGGATGTGCCGCGACAGCCCGTGGGCGGCTTCTTGGGTGAGCCGGCCGCCTACCTGGGGTGGGGCGGGTGGGGGTGGGGGCCCTCTGCACTCTTTCTGCTACTCTCCATTTCCCCGTACGCGATTCAGACAGTCAGTCGCTTTGGATGCTTGTGTTGTCTCGCATGGGCAGCTTTCGCATGCGCCGGGTCCATCCAAGTCAGCCCTGCAACGCCAAGACTTACGACAAGCCCTCACGGCAACCCTCCCCTCCGCCGGTCCCTCCTTTCCTCCATCCCCACTTAGCCGAGGAGATGGGTCTGGGCAAGACGGTGGAGGTGATGGCGCTCACGCTGGCCAACCCGCCGCCGCCCTCCCTGGTGGCGGGCTCGAAGGCGCCCTGCGGCAAGATCTTGTCGCGCGCCACGCTGGTGGTGTGCGCGGTGTCGCTGGTGGGGCAGTGGCAGAAGGAGGCGCAGAGCAAGACCAGCGAGTCCTGCCGCATTCACCCCTACCACGGGTAGGGAACAGGGGGGGGGGGTGCAGCAGCTGCATGGCCTACCCCGCCGTGGGTTGAGGAGGCATGCTTTTCCGTGGGCTCTGCAGTTACTTCTGTGTGTGTCTTTCAGCTGGGGTCGTATGGCTGTGTAGCCGTTATATGTTGCATGCCGTGGCTTGCAGGGTATTAGGACACGTTTGACACGTGCCTCGGCGCTCCCCCGCCCCGCCCCTGTCCTTCCCCCCTCGCCCCCCAGGCCCAACCGCATCCGCGACCCCATGCGGCTGGCGACGGAGTTTGACGTGGTCGTCACCACCTACCAGACGCTGCAGGTACGTGCTTCCTGCCCCCGGGAGGGCTCTCTTCAGCTTTGTTGCGCTAGGATTGCCGGGACCACCTATTTGCACGCTCACGTGCGAATGCCTTTGCATTCATACATCACCCATCCTACACTCCCGGATGCTACCCACCAATCCTCCCTCTCCCGACTCCCAACGGCGCAACCCCCGCCTCTCTCCCTTCATCTCTCCCGCCTTCTTCCCCTTTCTCCCCTCCCCCTCCCTGCCCCACTCTCCCGCCCAGGCCGACCACTCCGGCGGCGGCGCCGACCCCTGCCAGAACATCAAGTGGCACCGCGTGGTGTTCGACGAGGGGCACACGCTGCGCTCCGCGGGCGCCAAGCTGGCCAAGACGGCGGTGGATCTGAAGGCGGACCGCAAGTGGCTGTGCACCGGCACTCCCATCAACAACGCGGTGGACGACCTGCTGGGGCAGTTCAACGCAGTGCACCTGATGCCGCTGGGGAAGAAGACGTACTTTGACTCGTACGTCAAGGTGAGGGGGGCAGCAGGGGGAGGAGGAGGAGGTGGGGGGGCTAGGGAGCGGGGGCGCGGGGGGAGTATCGGTATGGTGTAGGAAGGGTGTGTTTGGAAAGAGTTACTGGTGGTGGGCGAGATGGGGCTCGGGCAAGTGGCAGCTGGAGGGGCTTTATTAGCCTACTTAACGAGTCTGCTTACCTTTCCTGTTCCCTCTTTGCTGTTGTTGTCGCTCCTCAGGCTCCCTTCCTGGGCGCGGGGCGGCACTACGGGCAGTCCGTGCTGCCGCTGCTGTACGTGCTGCGGACCACCCTGGTGCGCCACACCAAGGCGCAGAACCTGGGGGGCCAGGACGTGCTGCAGCTGCCCGACAAGACGGAGACGGACGTGCCGGGTGAGGGGTGGTGGGGGATGGGGGGCAGCAGCAGCTGTACACACATGCGCACGCGTGGGCATGTACGGTGTGCCTGGTGTTGTCCGTGGCTTTGCCATCTCCCCGCTTTTAGGGCGCTTGTCCTCACCACCTCCTTTCCCCGTTGCCTGACCTTGATTTGGGCCACAGCTTTTAATCTCCTTGCCTCTTGCCGACAAGATCCGTCTTGCGCTGCTCTCGGCCTCCTCTCTGGCTCCCCGCCCCCGCCCCCCAAACTGCTTCCCTCTTATCCCCATTGCTTATCCCCATACCTCACCTGTGGTTTGGGCATAATTCTTGCCTCTCCCCCCAACCCGCAGTGGACCTGAGTGCCGAGGAGCAGGCGCTCTATCGCCGGGTGCACAAGGAGGCGCAACGCGGCTGGGAGAAGCTCAAGGTGGGAGTGATCGAGGGAACTGAGCGGACATGGACAGGAAGAAGGAATGACATGGAGGAACACCGCCGCTTACTGCCTATCAGCAAAGTGCCGCCTAGCCGGTTGCGCCCCGAAGGCGCCTCTCAGCATGGGCCCAGCCAGCCCGCCTTTGCTGCGCCAACACCCACCCCCACCTGCCGCCGCATGCCTTGCTTCGCAGGCCGTGGGTCCGCACTACGTGAACTCGCACCTCTTCACCGCCACCTCCATGCTGATGCCGCTGCGCCGCATCTGCAGCGGCGGGCTGCTGCAGCCCAAGGACCTGGCGGTGCCCGACCCGGAACGGCTGGTGGCAGTGGGAGGAGCAGGTGCGGGGGGGGAGGTGGCGGGCATGGAGGTCGTCGTGGTGGTGGTGGTGGGGGGTGTTGCTCTGCTTGCCTGCACATGGGACAGCAAAGGATGCGGCTGATACTGCACATTCATTTCTCGTGTTGGCAGCAACCTGTACGTAACCCTCACCTGCTGCAACGCGAACGCATCCTTCTTCGCTGCCACATTTAACCTACTCACTACACCCCCCTAACATGCGGTCCCAGGACCCGGCGGCGCCAGCGGCAGCGACGGTGGCGGCGGCGGCGCCTCGGACGTGCCGGTGCCGGAGGACGTGTCGGAGTGCCCCATCTGCGTGGATACCATCGACCAGCCCGTGGTGACGCGCTGCAACCACTGGTTCTGCCGCGAGTGCCTCACGGGATGGTGCGTTTGGGAGGGGGGGTGTGGGGGACGGGGAGCTCACATGGGAGCGAAGGGCGCACGTAATACCGAGCGGTTACAGATCCAAGCCGCTTCTTGGTTCTGGGTTCTTTCCTCAAGCGGAAATCCACTGCCTGTCATTGCATCATCTGTGTCCTCTCGCGGCGTCCTCTTCACACCGCTGTATGCTTGTTTCCGCTGCCCCATCACCACCTGCCGCCGCCATCCCACCCGCGCTGCAGGATCAACGCCTCGGCGCACCACAACTGCCCCGCCTGTCGCCAGCCGGTGAGCCTCCCCTCGCTGCGGAGAGGTATCATGCCGGACGCGCAGCAAGCCGCCGCCGCAGCCCAGGCAGCCGCAGCAGCCGGGTCGGGCTCGGACGCGGAGGAGGCGGAGGCGCCGGGCGCGGTGCCCTGCGAGAGCAAGCTGCGTGTGCTGCTGGCGGAGTTGAGGGCCATGCGGGATGCGGACCCCACAGCCAAGGCGCTGGTTTTCACGCAGTGAGTCGGGGTCGTCGAGTCTGGGTGGCGGCCTTGCTTGCGGTGCAGTTGGGGCTGGGTGCATACGTGATATGGGTCTAGCGGTGGAAGGGTGACAGCTGTGATTGATATCGTCCATTCGATGATTGCATGCTGCAATGCGGCTACTATTCGGGAGGTGATTGGAGCTGCTTGTTCCTGCTGCTGCCGCTCACAGGTTCGGTCAGACGCTGGAGTGGCTGAAGCCGCGGCTGCTGGAGGAGGGCTTCGGGCACCGCACCATCACCGGTAGGCGCCGGACTGCATTCGCCACCACCACCATGACGCTGCAAACATCAGCGCCTGCGCTACCCTGCAACTCCTACTTCAGCTCCTCCTCCTCTTCTGTGCTCGATGCATGCTTGCTGCCGGTGCCGCTCGACACAGTACTTCACCACCACACTTGAGCCTCCACTCTTAACCCCCACGCCCCACCCGCCACCGCCTGCCTTGCTTTCACCCCCAGGCGACATGACGCTGAAGAGGCGCACGGAGGCCATCGAGTCCTTCCAGCGCGACCCCGCCACCAACGTGTTCCTGCTGTCGGTGCGGTCGGGCGCGGTGGGCATCAACCTCACCGCCGCCAACCACGTGTTCCTGCTGGAGCCCTGCATGAACCCCGCCATGGAGGAGCAGTGAGTGAGGGGGGGCGGTGCGGGGCTGCGTGATGGCTTGCGTGTGGTAAGAAGCTGACCGGGAGTAGGATGCCTTATGTGTGTTAAAATAACTGGCCGCGAAGACCCGTGTTTATGGGGGCTGCTGATGGCTTGGGGTGTTCCGACATTTCGCCTCGTGTGTTTTCCGACACTCCGCAGGGCGATCGGGCGCTCCTGGCGCATGGGGCAGCAGCGTGATGTGTTTGTGAAGCGCTTATACGTTAAGGTGAGCTCTTGAAGCGCGAACATGTGGTATGTCCCGTTTGCCTGCTACCACGAACAGCTACCAGGGTGTGTGTCGCCTGATGGGTAGGGTGTTCAGGGGTTTGTGGATGTGACCCTGCTGGACGGGTCTTCAAAGACCAAGCCATCTGTGGCTTGCGGCCCAACAGCCTCCTCCCTTAGCTAACACGCCTTGACCTCCACATGAGCGCTCCACATCCCTACCTGCTCCTCGTCCTGCTCCTCTTCAAAAGGGTTCCGTGGAGGAGCGCATCATGGAGGTCGTCAAGACGCGCCGCTCAGCCAGCGGAGGCGGCGCCGCTGCGTCTGCCGCTGCCGCCGCCGCTGCAGGGCCCTCGGGCAGCCGCGGTGGGGCGGCGCCCGTTGCGGGGTCGCTGCGGCAGGACAAGACAGACCTGCGGATCAATGAGCTGGAGGTGTTGTTCCGGGAGCCGGATTTCCCTGCGGCGGCGTCATGAGGGAGCGACCGTGGTGATGCATGCTTATCGCGTTGTCGGGTGCATAGTGATGCGGCTGCAGGTTAAGTGCCGTTGATCATAAGTGGTCAAGCGGACGCAGCATCTCAGCTTGCAACGGGGCGTGCATGGCGCCTGCTTTGCATAGTGACGTGCCTGCCAAATGAAGCCTTGGCGCACAGTAACGTGTTGTGTATTCATGTTCTTAGGGGGAGTCCTTAGTCCTTAGGGGTTTGTGGGCTAGCTGTCGTGTCGAACCGGAGTGTAGGGTTTTAGCGTCATTACGCGCACCGAATAGTCCGGATAGCCAATCACTGACGTAGCTGAGATGCACATGCAGGGCCGCCTGCATGAGGCCAGGCGCTGTTTGCGCACTTGAAATGCTTGGTTTCCGCTTTAGAAGACAATAGTAGACGCAGGTTGCCGTGCTAAGCGGCAGCCGTCGCAAGACCTAGCCACCGCTGGAAAACAGGCATGTGACACGGGCGTGCTCATAGCTATGAATGGGGCCGGCATTCCGCCCTTTCTTTATGCGCGTGTGCTCTTTAGCATATATGCGCACGGCGCAATCATATGCTATGCAGGCCGTGACTGTGCTAACGAAGAATGTTGGGATGCTAAGGCTGTCGGGTCAGCTGTCGTAGGGCACGGTATCAGTGGCGATGGATACCCTTACGAGCTTCTATGTCATCGTGTACTTTTGCATTAGCTGCCCTGTAAGGATTGGTGCAAGCATGCTGGATTGCTTAGCCGTGTCTCCCACATGCCGCAAACACCTCCAGGTGCAGTGCCCATACAGCTGACGGATTCACACTTCTTCACCAGGATAGGATATAACTTAGCATTTCGGACTGCCTTTGACGTGGCACATGCATGCTGACCGTGTGCTTTGCACGCTAGGCAAGCGTTAAGCACTTGTACGACATCCCAGACTAGAACTGGTATCTGTGCTTGGGCGATGTGCGGAAAAACGACTACCGATAGTGCTTGGAATATCCAACCAGGAAATTAGGTCCCAGCCCCTACGGGCACTTAGGAGAAGAGTTGCATGTACTTGTAAACGTCATTCTGATATAGGCAGAAACCGTCTGGTCTTGTTGTAATATAAACGTCTGGGTGCTTCCTATATATCCTGTTTTTATTGCGCTGGTGACGTATTGCTCATTGCTGCGGAAACTTCTACAAGGAGTGCCCTACAAAGCCTTTTCGCTTTCTGGCAACTAACTAGCTCTAAGAAAGGATGAGCGCAGAGCTGACCGAACGTGAAAAGGAATTAGTAGCGCAGCTCAAGGCGGAAGTTGCACCCATCGTGGAGCAGCACGCTTGCCTTAAAGCATTCTGCATCGAGCACACCTATGTCCGCTATCTACGAGCACGGTAAGTGCATCGCTGCTCTTTGGGAAAAAAAGTGGTTGCTTGCTTCGGAGTAATGCGCGGGAATTGTCTGCGGTGCTGAACCTCGCCATCTGTCCTTGCAACGTCCAGGAGCTGGAACCTACAGCGTGCAACAAAAATGCTTAAGGCGACCCTAGAATGGTAAGCCGACGGGACCCATCGGTCCATGCTTGCACGCCGGTTGACGCAAGGGGATTTCAACGCAGGCGATTAGAGTACAAGCCGCATCTTATCAAATGGGAGGAGGTGCAAGAAGAGTCGGCGACGGGGAAACTCTACGTGTACCACGTCCCCGACAAGCAAGGTCGGCCCATAGTCCTCATGCGGCCACGGTGAGGGACGGGAGGGTGCTAGCAGGATGGGGTGCCGTAACGCTTGCCTTATGCACTCCCTGTGTCCAGACGATGTGCTGTTTAGTGGGACCTTTTCCCGCCCCAAGCCGGGCGCCTGACAGGGTTACATACATATGTCATGCAGCCACCTAGCAGTACGCCCAGAACTTCCATACACCTGTCATGCCTCTGGGGCCCTACCTGCTTCACATGGCCCGCAAGCTGACGGCCCCTCCTCCACCTGCTCCCCATGTCTTGCTCCACCTGCACAGCAACCAGAACACCAAGGACACGGAGCGGCAGGTGCGGCACCTGATCTACACGCTGGAGGTGGCGTCGCGCCTGGCGGACCAGAACGGTGAGGGTCGGCGCAGGCGGAGGAGGGCTTCGGTCACTCCAACAGCCACGCAAACAATTACCGTAATCACAGGTTCTGCGCAGAGTTGCATCATCCACAGTTTCCCAGTCTGGCCCTCACATGGCAAACTGAAGACGCGAATGCACATGGGCCTGATGAATGCCAGGACGACGTTCGTAGGGTCCCTCGCGATCTCGCCACCCACCATGGATCTACGCTCGCAGACCTCTCACGCCGCGTTCCCTTGTCACCCTCGTTATCACCCCTGCCCGCAGGTGTGGGCAAGTTCGCTTGGCTGCTCGACTTCAACGGCTACTCGCTGTCCAACGCGCCGCCGCTCAAGGTGAGCCTGCACTGCAACTCGGTGCTCGCCAACCACTACCCGGAGCGGCTGGGGCTGGCCTGCTGCTACCACGCGCCCACGCTCTTCTCGATGACGTGGAAGGTGAGGAGGGCGGGTCGAGGGAGGGAGGAGGGACTGCTGATTGGGGATGCTGCATGCATGGGGCATACCTGCTTCCAACGCCGAATGGTAGTAAATGGCTGGCTTGACGCGCCATTAAGTGCCTAGTCGTCCTTTCTGTTGTAGTGTCGTGTGCACTGGTCATCCCCGCTATTGTTCGTTCTTTCGTCCGGCCCTACGCCCACAGGCGGTGCAGCCCTTCATTGACCCCGTCACCAAACAGAAGATCGTCTTTGTGGAGAAGGGCGCGCAGGGGAACGCCGAGATGGCGGCAAGGTAGGAGCGCGTGTTCGTGCGGTCCAGTCCGTGTGAGGGAAGTAAAAGGTGCAACTAGACCACAGCACTGACGCTCGGCTTCGCCGTTAGCATGGTTACATACTGTTACACGCGGACCTCTCATGCATCGTCATCACGTCTTGCAGCAACTGACTTGAAAGTACACTGGCATGCTCCAGACATGGTCACAACCACCACCACCTCACTTCAAGTCTTCTCTCAACCCCCTCTCCCCCCATAGTAACGTATCAGCGACCATCACCATTGCGGGTTTAACAGCAAGTGTCCCCACCATCCTAGCCACGTTACCACGCCCGCCTAACCCACTCAACTGCCGCGCATACATCAAAATACCCAACTACTACCCCTCCTCCTCTTCATCATGTTGCGCCTACTTTGCCGCCGCATCCCCAGGTTTCCGATCGACCAGGTTGAGCAGTGCATGGGCGGCAACCTGCCGGGCTATGCGTATGACCACGACAAGTTCACAGCGAGGATGCTCGAGCACGACAACGACGTCGCTGCGGAGCTCGAGCAGCAGCGGCAACGAATCCAAGCTGCCGCGACAGCCGGGGACCACCACACTGCCGCTGAGAACGCGATCCAGGGCATCACCGAGGGCACGGAGCAACTGACCGTTGCGGCCAGCTGATTTGATGTGCGCATGATCCGCATCCTTCCCAATTGGAGGAGGTATTACCGAGCCGAGTTGAGAGAAGGGTGTGTAATGTATTGCGGTGCAGCATCATATACGTGACCACACGAGTGCGGAGCGAAGAGAGGGGCATTGCTTGAGAGCTGTTTTTCATGCCGATGCTGGCATTGGGGATATATCCCTGCCAGGCAGTAGTAAGGGGACGGCGCAGAAGGACAACGAAATGAGGGTTTGCGGTTTTTACCTGCACATGCGGGCAAATACCTATGTATGGTGCACCTCCACAAGCGCATCGCAAATTTTCCGTCATGTAAAACACTTGCCGACTATGTCCCCGTTGCCATCCTGCCAACAAACGTACACACAAGCTGAGATATGCCATAGGGACATACATACAGAAACAGCAACAAACAGACCAAAGTGCACCCGCAAGGCATTTGGCGTAGAGAGACCCACAATGCGTGCCTTGCACAACCCGCATCATCATCTATGGAAGCTTGACAGTTGCCCAGTTCAGTTCTTGACGCCGTTCGGGGGTCAGGTCTCCCTCCGTCCGGAGCGGAGCTGCTCCCAGGTCGCAGTACATAGGCGGCCTGGAAGCGTGAAGAGCCCCCACCCCAGCGTGCATGGACGGGAAAGCAGATTCGTAGCTATGTAGGGCAACGCTAGGTATGCTTGTCTTCTCGTCCCTCCACACCTCAAATGCAATCCTATAAGCCGCTGTACAATATACCGTAATCGGTTAGCAGCTTCCGCTGCTATGCGCGCAGCACTCAGTTGCCCGTGCACGCGCATTCGGCCGGCGCAGCGGCCTCCTCCCCGCGCGCAGCGTCGCCGCAGGTAGCCTGAGGCCCCGGCGCCGCTCCTGGCCGCTCGCTGCGTAGGTCTATGATAAGGACGGTAACGTTATCCTTGCTGCCGCGATCAATAGCGGCCTTGGTCAGCACCGAGGCGGCGATGCGGACGGCGGCGTTGCGAGAGGCGCCCTTCTCCCGCGCGCGTTTGATGCAGCGGATGCACAGGTTGGTCGCCTCCTGTGGAGGAGGGACGGCGGGGGGTGTGCGGTGCAAAGCGTACGCGTCAAGAGGGAAGCGGCACGCTGGCCTGCCGGCAGACATGTGCACAAGAGGGTCTGCCATGTACTCGCTTTTGCTAATCCTGTGACCCATGTGTCTCCGCCCTCCCTCTACACCCGGTCCTCCTGCCCGCACCTGGTTGGCCATCACGTCCCACAGCCCGTCGCTCGCCAGGAGCAGGAAGTCGTCATCGTCCTGGCGGCACACCACCGACACCTGCCGGCAACACACCGCAGCAGCGGTGGCGTAGTCGTCTTAACGTTTTAGCCTGAAGTAGCCACTCCCAAAACGAACTATTCACATCGCGCATCCGTGAAGGTGTTAAACCTCCTTGCACGCCACGGCCCCTGCTACAGGGTCGGCCCCCCCCCATACCTCCGGCTCTGGGATGATGTACGGCCGCAATCCGTGGTCGCCAATGGCACGTGACATGGCCAGCACGCCCATAACTCGGTGCCCGTTGTAGAAGAGCACCTGGCCGCCGGCCTTCTCCACGCGCTCCTGCAAAGGGAGGAGTGCACGATAATTGGAGCAAGGCATAGCAGCATGCATGCCGCACGCAATTGACGAGGACCAGCCCCAACAGCATTGGCTCGGCCCTCTACGCAAGTAACCGCCGGCAGCCTCCTCCCTTACCGCTTCGTCCTCGCGCTCAGGCTTGTGGTCGTCCGTTAGCTGGATTGCTCTTCCATTGCGGCACAGCACTGCACGCGAGTCCCCTGTTTTTGTGCGCAAGCAAGCCGCGGGAGTGTTATGGCAGTACAGCCGAGGTCCAACCGCATACAGCAACAAAGCCCTAACATAAAACCTCGGGCGATTAAGCGTGGTTTGTTCCCCCACGGAAGAGCCGCATGCTCACCGCAGTTCGCGAGCCACACTTTCCGCGTGCCGACAAGCGCCACCAGCGCCGTGCTTCCGACCATGGCAGCGCACCCGTCGTCGCCGAACTCCGCATCCGTATTCACAAACGCCTGCTTCAGCGCCTGCTCCAGCAACCCCGACACGCTAACCGCGTCGGCGGGGTCGCTGCCGCTGCTGCCGCTGCTATCGTTGTCAAACGACGTGTCGTTCTCCGGTGACGGTTCCAACACGTGGTCATCTGGGGTGCTAGAACTGCTGTCGCTGTCTACGCTGCCCTTACCCATCAGGCACCGCGGCTTCTCCCGCTGCGGCGGCTTCTCGTGCTGCGGCGGCGAGGCCGTCTCTGGCCCACCCAGGCTCATGCACGCCAGTTTGGTCATGGACTGCATGAGGGAGCTGCTGAGGGACCAGTCCACTTGGCTGCTGTCCGGCTCCGGGGCCTGCAGCAGCTGGTTGCCGTCCGCAACCAGGCAGCCGCAGACGGTGGCTAGGGACCGGGACAGGTGGTGGTGCAGCCGCCTAGCGCAGTGCTCGGCTGCCTGGCACCCGCCGTGGCCATCGTACACACCAAAGAAGTGTAGCGTGTCTGAAGTGCCCATGGCGTCAGCGCCTGCCCCAAATGTGCCTGCAGGCTGGTCGCCAGCGCGGCCCAGGCTTTGCTTCGCAACGCCTTGCGGGTCGCTTGGTGAAAGTCCGGCACCGCACGTTGGGAATTGGTCGGCATGGCCCAGCTGCAAAGCAATCCGCACGGGTAGCTTATTACGAAGATCGTCAGCGGTTGGTGACAGCGGAATATCAAAAAAGTTAGGCTGTACTGCGTACATATCCTCCATTTTGTTCCGTTTGCCACACACGGCTTTCACGCCATGTGCTGGGCAACTGCCAGTTGCACCCAGACATGCTGACGATTGCCGTTGAAACGTCGGTTGCTGAGCTATCACGTTGTCGCCAGAGCATACGCCTCCCTGCACCGGCGTGCTTAGTGATCCGCTTAAACGTGGAACTTGCGGTGTAGGTGTACTGGCACAAGCGTCCCCTGAACTGCTCGTCTCAATGATGGTGTCCTGATTTCGGAAGACGGAGCCCGGTGAGCAAAGCGGCTCGTGCACTGTTTGAAACGCGGACACAACGTCCTGACTAACAGCTGCTGCAGAGACAAAGGGCGTCGGAGGAGGTGAGCCTGAGCCGCTGCGGCGCGTTCCTAAGCATAATAGGCAAGGGCCCGCGTCGGTTGTCTGCGATGCCTGAGCTACTTGACCGCACGAACAGAAGGCTGGAAGCAGCTGCACGTGGGCCTCAGAAGAAGGTAGTCCGGTTGGGTCTACACGTCAGAAAGAGGGGCAGGCCCGGAAGTGTACGTTTAGCAGGTTCGCGCCTAGCCAGGGTAGGCACGCGTTGCAAGTAGCTAAAATTGTACACAACAACGCATAGCTTACCCAGAGTCAGGCTCCGTTTGAGACGATAAGCACAGGAATCCGTCCCAACCATGTTGCTCTGGTGCTGACCAGCGCTAATCGCCTTAGGCGCGAGAAAGCGCTCCGCCATATGCCATCATATTAAGGCGGGCGACCGATGCGCCACGAGCCCGACTCTAGGCGACGCGCACGTCAGGAAGCAAAGACAGGGGAGCAGATTTGCCAAAAAAAGTGCCGCTGTCTACGCTCAGCAACAGATGGATGTCGGTAGATTTGCAAAACGGGAAATGGCTCTAACGAAAAGGATGGAAAAGGCGGATAGGCACGTTGCGTGGGAAAGGAACCTGAGGGTAGCTGAACCTTGTTTCTGGTCTGAAACGCAGAGGTTGTGTTTGAACTTTCTAAGTTTCAATTGATCTTTTGAGTAAACGATTTGCGGCAAGGGATTCCGTAGGTATACTTCGCCAGCGACGCCCAGCAGTTGCTAGCATTGGGCATTAGGGCCTTACGCCTGGCCAGAACGTTGCAGAAGGAGTTCTGCGGGAAGATGTTACACGTAATACTGAAAGGGGTAAGTACCTTGCGATGCATGAAGCCTAGCCCTCAATGTAACTTTGTCGAGTCGGGCCTCGGAGTCCGAAAAAGGCGCTCCGAGGCCTTAGAAGTAGGGCGACCGACTTTGCCGCTAACACGCTGTCGACACAGTTGAAAGGTGTCACTCTTAAGTACAATTCACTTAGGAGGGTAACCTGCACGGCGAGTGCCAACCCAGTTCAATGTGCCTCGAAGCGGTCTCGGCCGTCGGTTAAGCACAAGACAGGGAGCTACGCACATGTCCGCAAGAAGCATGCGCTCACCCTTTGGCGAGCTTCATACTACCTACCTTTAGGGGTTGCGTTAATAAAAGCTCAGCACAGCGGGGAAAGACGCAACGCGAGGTCTTACAAAGCTGCACAACACTACAAGGAGCTGACCAACATCGGCACATCGTGAAGATGCGATTCCCTTTCGTCAAGCGACGAGCAGCCAAGTTGGCACAGGTCATGACTGTCACATCACAACACAACTGACGAGGTGACCTTGGCCATGTCTCATCATGCCGCATCCCGTGGCAAAACAAATCTGCAGGCATGTTGCGCACGTGACAACCATAGTAATGTAAAGCAACGCCCATAACGGCAACAACGATGATCCTCTCCATCACACAATAACCAGCCTAGCAACACACCCCCATCGAACGTAAAAGCAACCATGTCAGACCCCCTCCACGCAGGACAGGGCATACATGACGGACGCCAGCAGTAAGCGGCGCTATCAATAACCGTTGACGTGACCGTTGACAACTACCGTAACAACAACCGGTGTGTAATTAAGGTACCGGTAGTAAAGCACGCCAACGGTGAAACGAGGCAAGGGCACGCCGAGAACGCGCGTAGCAGCAACTGTCAATATAACCCAGATAACGCTGCAAACGACACACGCCAGCCCTTCCCTCCCTCTCTCGCCCTCACGCATCTCCCCTCCTCAACCCTCTTCCCCGCTTCGCCCTGTCTAGTTTATCTGTTCCCCACCTCACGCATCTCACTCCCTTCCTCTTCCGTACATCTCACGCCTGCTGCCACCGTGCTGCGCCTCCCTCACACCCCACGCCCCCGCCTCCTGCCCCTGCGCCCCCTACTTGTCGGCCGCTGCCGCCCCCGCCTGCTGCTGCTCACGCTGCCTCAGCTGCTCCAGGGTGGGGTAGTCCAGGTAGCCCTCCGGCCCGGGCGAGTAGAAGGTGTCCCGGTCGTACTTGTTGAGCGGCGCGTGCTGCAGGATGCGCGCGTGGAAGTCGGGGTTGGCCAGGTACCACCTGGGGTAGGGGGGAGGGGGGGAGGGGAAGGGAAAGGGAGGCAGAGGGTGGAAGGGGTGAAGGAGAGGCAGTGAGGAGAGGTAGGGAGGGTGGTGTGGGAGGAGGCGGAGGCGGGTCCGCCCAGCGCTGTTGTGTTGCGCTGGTGCTTTGGGCGGGAGGGGGCCAGCGGTGAGAGCGGGAGTGAGGGTGGGAGGCAGGTGTGTACAGGTAAGGGTCCGGCAGGTGGGGCAGCAGGCAGCAGCCGGGCGGGCGGGCAGCACGGGAGGAAGCTGACGCCGGCACATGAGGCGGTGTGAGGCGGCGCGAGACACTGTGCGACAAGGCTGCTCCAGGGTCCTCCACCTCCCCCCCTACCTGCCATTCCCATTCAACACATGTACACATTGGGTGTTTCTCTTCCCTCCCCCCCCCACCTGCCGTATGCCACCAGATCCGCATGCCCCGCCGCCACCGCCGCCGCCCCGCTGTCTGGCCTGTAGCCTCCCGCCGCCATGAAGGTGCCCCTGTAGGCCCGCCGGAAGGGCTCCAGCGAGTCGCACGTCTCCTTCTCAACCACACCTGGGGAGCGGGGGGGAGGGGGGGGTGGGAGATGGTAGCGGGGGTGGGGGAGAGGAGGGAGGGCAGGCAGGGATGCAGGGAATGGGGACAGGGGGCTTGGTATGGAGGGGCGGGGAAGACTGATGCTTTCATGCCGCATGCAATCATGGAGCCCCCCACCATCCCCCCTTACTCCTCATGTACTTCCCTCACCTCTTGCACCTCCACCCCTCCCCGGCGGTCGGCTACCATGCCTGCACCCATGCTAACCCCAGCCGTGTCATACAGCTCCTCCGTTTCCTCTTTCCCCCCCCCCCCGCCAACCCCACCTCCCCCCCCACCCGCGATGCGCGGCTCCACCATGTGCACGTACGCCAGCCCGAAGCCGTTCAGCTTCTCCGCCAGGTAGCAGTGCGTGGCGTAGGGGGTGGAGTCGTGCGCGTCCAGGAAGGTGGTGAAGGGGCTGAGCCGCAGGCCCACCCGCTCCGCCCCCACCGCCGCGCACACCGCAGCAACCACCTCCAGCGCGAACCTGGCGGCGGGCAGGTGGGGGAGAGGATAGTAGGATACCCACTGTGTTGAATGAGGCTAGCAAACAAGACGACAAGCTGAGGAGGAGGACGAGGTGACAGCATGGGGCAGGTGGCAGCAGCAGCAGCAGGATGGGGGCAAGGAGGGCAGTCTCCATGCAGGGGCATCCACCCCCACACCCCCACACCCCCACCACGGCCCCTCCCCTCCCCTCGACCCCTCCCCCTCCACCCCTCCCACCTGCAGCGGTTCTCGATGGACCCCCCGTACTCGTCCGTTCGGTCGTTAATGGAGTCCTTGATGAACCTGACAGGGGGGAGGCAGCAAGGGGTGGTAGGTAGCAGGGGGAGGCAGCGAGAGGGGTACGCAGCAGAGTGTTAGCAGCCGCAGCCCTTTCACATGGAGACGTGGTGGGTGGTGGTCATAGCAGCGCACGAGCAGGAGAGCACAGAAGGACAGAGCCTACACCGCAGCCATTCCCTTCCCTCCTTCCTGGCATTTCCAAATGCACACACACTTCCCCTTCCCCCGTCCACCCCCCCCAGATATGGGATTGGGACTCGTTGTTTCACTTATTTAATTTCCTTCCCCCCCCTGCCCTCAACTGGTCAATCAGGTAGCCGTTAGCCCCGTGGATCTCCACCCCATCGAATCCCGCCACCTCCACGGCGGCCCGCGCGGCAGCTGCGTACGCGGCGACCGCCTCCTTGATCTCCTCCCGCGTGGCGGCCCGGGGCGCGGGGTAGGGCTGCGGGCCGCTCTCCGTGAATACCTTGAACTCGGGCGAAGTGATGCCGCGGGTGGAGGAGCTGAGGGGCGCGCGGTGGCCGGGCTGGAAGTCTGGGGAGGGGGGTGATGTGGGGTGGGGCGGGAGGAGGAGAGGGGGAGATAGGTGCATCGCCGTGACAGTTTAATAAGAAGACCCACCCGCACGCACCCTGACCTCCTAGCCACCACGATGACGCCGTATCACACGGTCAGTTAGTTGTTTCCTCTTTACCCACCTCCTAGCCCCCCGCTTCCCGCCTCCTAGCTCCCCCCCCACCCCACCCCCCCCAACCCCACCCGTGTGTGAGGCCCTGCCGGTGTGCCACAGCTGGCAGAAGAAGGTCGCCCCCGCGCCCCGCACCGCCGCCGTGATGGGCTGCCAGGCGGCCAGCTGCTCGGGCAGGTACAGGCCCGGGGTGTTCAGGTAGCTGCGGGGGGGGGGGGGGGCAGGGGGGTGGGGGGGATCAGAGATGGGGGGGGGCGCAGGGAGATGGGGGGGATCAGAGATGAACCAGACCGCACATGATGGCAAGACCATGCAGTGCACGATAGGGAGGCAGGGAGGGGATCAGGGAGGGCATGGTTCATGGCGGCTATGCCAACCCCTACCCCATGCAAGCCACGGGCGCCCTGCCGCAACCTCCTTGCCGCCCTCTCCCCCGTCACCCATCGACGTCTGGAACACCATCAAGCAGCCCCCGGTAACCTACGGTCAGGGTCAGTGTTTCCGCGGCTCAGTTTATCTAATCCCCTTCACCCTCAACCTCACCCCCAGCCACGCCAGTCCCACCAATTAACCCCCCAACCCAACCTCACCCCACGACCCCAGTCTTCCCCACCACCTTCACGCCAGTCCCATCCAACACATTGGGTATCATCCTCCCCCCCTCCCTCCCCCCCCTCACCCCAGTCCCTCCGCGCTGATGTTGGTGGCCTCGCTGATCAGCAGCCCGCCCGGCACCGCCCGCTGGCAGTAGTAGGTGGCGGCGGAGGGCTGCGGGATGGTGCCCACAGCGCGCATGCGCGTGAGCGGCGCATACACAATGCGGTTGGACAGCTTGAAACGACCGTTGGAGAGGTTGAACGGCGTGAAGAGGGGAGCCACGTCAGCGGGGACGGGAAGTACGACACCGTTGCCCAGGTCGAAAGTCTCCGGGGCGGCGGGGGTGGTGGGGCTGGGGGTGGTGGGGGTGGGAATGGGTGTGTGTTAAGTAAACTGGCCGAGGGGTGTGTGTGTTAAAATAACTGGTGTGTGTGTGTGTTTTATGTGTATGGGTAGATGGGTTGGGGAGGGGACGCGGGTGTGAGAGGATGAGGGGGTATAGCTAGATTGCGGTGCAGGCAGGAAAGAGATGGTGGTGTGTTTTGTGGCACCCGTAGCCGCAGATGCTTTGCTACCGCAACCTGGCACTGGATACGGCGCCTAGCGGAAAGGTTTGAAGCAGCGCCGACGTTTGGCATGGGAGCACTGTAGTGAGAGCAGCGAATGGCGTCGCAGAACCCGACAACAGGAGCAAGGGCTGCGACAAGCTTGCCCTAGCTGAGGAGTCAATTAACTAGCTGGACAGGCGCACTGCGTAATTTGGTGAGTACTAGGATGGTCATCGTGAGGATTCCCTGTTGATATTGCTTCCTGACAGCCTTTCTTGCTGCAGAGGACTTGCCGCGGCAGATGCTCACCTCACGGCTGCTGACCCGGGGACCCCATCTGCCTTGGCAGACTCAGCCAGGCGATCCGTTGCGGCCGTGTTAGGCATAGTTTAC